ACTAGGCATCATAAATAATATAAAATAATATATATATCGTATCTAGTTGAGAAGAACGGCACAAGTCAAAAATGCAAAAAAATGGAGTTTACGTTAATTACGAACAAAATCCGACCCAGTAGGCCATGGTCGAAGGGAAAAGGTTCGCTACTGAGACTTCGAGATACCATATAACTGATATATCAATTTGAAAAAATTACTCACTATCTACGTCACAACATAAAAATGGTGTGTATTGGAAAATTGGTATTTTCGAATATAAAACAACCTATATGGAGAAATAATGAATTTGTTTAATAATCTTGGAATTATGAGGTTTTAAAAAAACTGAAAGAAAATCTAGATTACTTTTAATTTCTTTCGGAAAAAATGTTTTCTTTTGTTTGTAAATTTCAATTGAATCCAGGATTGTAACAATTTTTTTTGCGTTTTGAACCTCAAAAAAATTACAAATTGCTGTTAAAATATCAAATTGCTGTTTTAATATAGTATACCGCACTTCTATTCGGCAGGTTTTTAGCAGTCGTCCAAATATTCGTTTGATATCGTTAGCCCAAACCCTACTCATTTCAATATTCATTCAATAGATATGCAAGAACGGTTGAGTTTCGTCTACTTTGAATACTTATCATTTCAATTATATCAAAGAAAAGTTAACTTCAGATCAAATATTCGTTTGATATCGTTAGCCAAAACCCTACCCATTTCAATATTAATTCAATAGACGTACTGTTTTAGACGTACTGATTTCGTACGTACTGCGATGTCGTCTATGACCCTTGTATCGATTCCATAACTTCTGCAAGAATTCAGAAAGTACAGAACGCCTGCATTAGACTTATATTCAGCTTGAATAACAGAGATCATGTGACCCCTTCCATCAATCAACTTAATTGGTTAAAAATGCAAAACAGAAGAGAATTGCATTTCGCTTGTTTCATTCACAAACTGATAAATGGCAGTAGAAAACCATAATCAGTTTTATATTAAAATATCAACAATTTTTACTTACAAATAAACACGAACAATAAAAATCAAACCTTGTCGAAACACGATTAATAAATGTCATATATAAATTACAAAGATTATGATTGTTTCCAACACCTCGACAGGCAGTTCAAAAATGTGCCTTACATGATCTGAGGAATAAACAGCCAAATCAATGATCGTGGAAGGCGTAACACCCAAAAAACAACAAGAAACATTTGACTTCTCCACAGAAAAGTCTTTCAAAAAATATTTGTTAAACACAATAATTATTGTAGACATAAACAATTTACAAAGATTGAGGTTTCTACTATATTCAATTATATTTCAGAGCATTGAAACACAAGCTTGAAAAACACAAATAGCAAGAAATCATCTATAACCACTTAATAATAAATCAACCTATTTATTCAAGAAAAAGTAAACATATATTTTATGAAAGAGGTTCTCATTTACTTGTTTCTCGTACTTAGAAGGGAAAAATAAGGCTCATAATTCAAATGGGATCGATGCAAGTCGTAAGAAATCATAAGCAGTTAATCATTCAGTATAAACATTCATGTAGGAATATTATCTTATTTACTCATAATACATATGCACACGAGTTTTCAGTAGTGCCTGATAAATGAAAAACATCAATTCTAAAGACTTAAAACTTCTGGCATACGACTTAGTACCTTCTAAAAGTACTCAAACATATCAAAACACTTTCTTGTAACAGAAAAAATAACTCAAATAATCATCACCTTTCACGAATCAAATAATATATTCGTCATTTATCATATCATCATTGAAGCAAAGTGACCAATTTTAATAAAAGTCACCTTGAAATCTAAATAAACTCTGATCATCGGTTTTTATATAACACTGCGTACGTGTGTTTGAGATCGTTCAAAATATGTAATAAGGTTGACCTTTAGATTATTAAATTCATCCTCGATTTCAAAACTCTAAATGGTATTTTGTTTTTATTTATCTTGCATAGGGGAAAACAGTTTTATCTAAGAATTAATAACTTTTTTTTGATAATTCCACCAGTGTGGAGAGAAGTTATAATAAATATTGAAATGTCCAAAACATTTTGAGTTTAAATAATGGTTTTGAAATCATTGAAAAAGTCATATTTCAAAAGATGAAACTAGTCCATTTTTTTGATTCATTTGCTTCTTTGATTGGTAATTTGATTTCACCTCCATTTTGTAGCTCCCTCGCATTGATTATATAAATTTATTATAGAAAAAAAAACCATATTTTTAAGTACCAAGATGTAATGATTCATGTAGACATGTTCACACAAAATAAAAAACTATTTGAAAATATTTCAATATTTTAATAAGAAAAACATGTATAACAACATAAAAAAAGTTATTTGAAGATTTGTTATTTCATGATGTCTTCACAAAGTTATTTTTTGAAGGATTAAAAAAAAATGTAGCGTTTTGAAGAAAACAGAATCATATTTCAGCTGATTTGGTTTAAAATGAATATTAATTATGTTGCTCACATAACGATACGATCAAATTTTGATCACAAACGGATGAGACACCGCATCTTTATCAAATGTATTTCTAAGAAAGTTCTTAGTTGCTTTTAACATTCTCTCGAATTGTAAAAGTATATATGATGACAATTAGCAATGATGATTTTAATTGAGACTGAAAGAAGATTTGAAATCACCACCATATGTTACACATCCGTCAGACATACTACGTACTCTGTTTAAAAAAAATCTGTTTTGCCGTTAACCAGCTGTCGCACCCGTACGAACGAACTCTCAGAAGTCGAAACTTGTGCGAGCTAAGGATTAACGAGGTCTTACCTTTTAACGTGTGATTCCTAACACGGGTTGGACGATAGCTAGTGAAGATCGATCGTTCAGCCTGGGGCTTGAACCACCGACCAACACGGCAGTCAATTCGAGTGAGTGAACAAAGCACCCACGCCCAACCGCTTGGCTACTGACCAACCAGAAATAAGAGATACTTAGAAATCAGATCTAATGAAAACTAGTCCATAGTGTACCTTATAAGACACGAATCGGTTCAGTAACGTAAATGACCATCGTCCATCATTAATAGCTCAAGTTCAAAAATTGATTTCGCATCGGTAAAAGTTTGTGAAGTTAAAAATGTTTACTAATGACGGAGATCATTCAGGTAATAGAAAATAGATTAACCTGTCTCAGTATTATTAAGCGACTCAATGAAACTTTGGACAAAGATATATTTCCATCTACCATGAAATGCGATATTTATGTCAAAAATAGTAACTCATTAGGTCGTCTGATGAAAGTTACACAAAAATGTGACTTGAACATCTGAAATGAAATAATTTCATCTTTGGAGACTTCAATTGATTGACTTTGATTCATATTCATATTCCCATACATGAGCTATAAAATACGTTTTTTCGATAAGTAGCGAATGGCATTATTGGTGGTTTCAATTGGTTTCAAACATTATTATTATAATGATATATTTCTTCCCTTTTTTGCTGGTTATGAAATGATTAATATTACGAACAGTTACATCTAGAGTCCCTATTGAAGTTACTCCTCATTTTTTAACAGTTAAATTCTGATTTTTGCATGAATTTACTTTATGGACGTAGATAATTTGTCCAATTCTGTTTTCAAATTGATTTGTCCTATTTTCTTGAGAAGTTAAATAGTAAATGAGACACCCTTTCTATTAAATAAGAATAATGATGCAACTTATAGTTAGGCCAAATATTGGGTTTCATAAAAACGTTTAATTCATATTTATCATACAATATAATACAATACAATTTCTCCTGAACATCATTTCAAATCTAGACCTTATTTAAAAAAATTGGAATCGAAATTGAGCTTCATGGGAACCTATTTAATTTTGACATTCGCAACAGCTCGACAACTGTAAAAAGTGTGTAAAACTTGGGTATATCACGTTTATTGGAATTTTTCTGTTCATTTTTCAACTGCAAATGGACGGATTGTAATCATTTCTCTTTCAAAATGATCAGAAGAATTATAACGTTGAGGAAGATATATAGTATGTCTCAGTAGGTTGGAACCATTTGGAAGAAAACTTTTTTATAATTGATTTCAGTAAAAAAAGTTATTTTTTCATAAAAAGTTCTGCGAGGACTGCAAACTGAAAAGCAGCTGTCACTACTAAGTATCATGGTTTTATTTTCATAACCATTATTACTATGATTGTTAATAATTTTACGAGGGTACGGAAAAAATGGGAATTTTGCTCAAGAGTACGTACAGAACCTTCGTTTTTTACTGCTGTCGAACAGCAGTAAAAATTACGTTCAAATATTCAATGGGAATGATTTACAATGAAAAATCAAGTTTTTCCTTCATAAATACGTACCATTTTTGAATCATGATTGAACATTTTTTCCACGTTTCAATCAAATATTCATATTTTTTATCTCAGTTGAATAGATATTAGAATGAGCCTAAATTAAAAAAAAATGTTGACTGTGTTCCACTGCATTGATGTTTGAATTAGGAAAATCCACAGTACCGCAATTGAATGCAGAGCAGAAAATTGACCTAAAATTATAACTGAATAATGAAGTTCTGCTAGCTCAACAAAAATGTTCAAGAGGGTCCGAAGGTATTTCTTCAACTAGTAGAAAAGTTTTGACCTGAATGATCATAATTACTTTTTCAATTTTTCTCAAAAAATTTTGACGGTCAAGTTTTAACGAGTTCAGGTTAGACTGAAATAAGATTTGTACAATAAATCATTCATTTACAAAAACTGCATTGAAAAAATCAGTTCAGGTGAAAGTAAACTTTAGAATTACCCCTTGCACTGAGAGAATCCACCAACCATATCATCACAACATAAAGTTTCAAATATCTTCATGTTCCAGCTCCACTGAATCAATCCCTGCTATTCCGACTCGGCATCCTGCTTGATCTCATTATAATTAGATTTTTTCGTTTTCAGCATCCTCAAGAACGAGCCCAGGGCAAAAATCGACCTCCTGTGTTTTTGAAATATCTCTGAGTATAATGTTTCTCGAAGCACCTTCCTGTCTGAGTCCCTCGTTTTGATTTGGGGAGTAACAGTCGGGATGTTTTTGCAATCCATTTCGTAGAAAAAAGCGCGTCGACAATAAAGTTTTGCGGTGAATAGTTCAACACCCTGTATTTTATCACAGTGATATATAACGTTTGCAAGCTTTAAGGGTGGCGTGGTTATGCGTATATTTAAGGCATAAAGCGTGAAGGCATCTTCTCGATACGTAGTTTGGATTCTCTAAATGCTGCACGAGTTTCTAACACAACAGTCACTACTAGGGCACTCGGACTATCTAATAATGAAAATGGATTGAACAAAATTGCAAACAACAGCTCGTTTAGTTATTAATGAATTATCGCTGCAATTTGTTTATAAAAACCATGACGTCGGTACTTATCTTCTGTTTATTACATCGTTTAGGTACTTGTAGTACTTCCCGAAAAATTCTTCGTATATCTCTTCGGCGTCGATTTTTCTCAGCACGTCGATGTCCTTATTTTTAGATTGTTTTCTGAATGCATCGCTTATGCAAACATTTTTCAGAATCCTTTCAAAATCGCGTACTTGTACGGTTTCGTAGATCTGTCTCAGCTGCTTATTGCACACTTCAATATTTTTGTAATCTGTCACGTTCACTTTGATTGGTTTTCTTTTATCCTGCTGGATATTTTTGTTGCGGTTTGGGGTTTCCACCGGATCCTCTTCAACTTCAGCACCGATTCTAATATTTTTTTTTATCGTGAAACACTGCCTCGGTGGCTTCAGTAGTTTTATTCGTTCACCATTAACACACAGGTTGTTTATGTACAATTTATCCTCTCCACCACTATATTTTCGCATATTTCACCGGAATGATTGCACCAAACGATTACAGCTGATTTCGAAGAGGTTCTTGGTTCATGTTGTTGTCATTGTTTCTGAAACACTGTCCGTGGTTAAAAGGTTACCTACCGACTAATCGATATTGTTATTTCCTTATTCCTCTTTCTGGTCATATGTATCGACAGGGACGGACTCCAAAGTGCCGCGCTTTATCGATTTTTCGAAGATTGCTGGTTAAATATTCATGGCAGTGAGACTTATACTCGAATAGAAAATTGTTTACTTCAGAAAACACATCGATGTTCTGACGACTTGAGAGAAAGTGAATTTATTCATCCAACAGTGAAAATTATATTAAAGTAAAAAATACATCTTTTGAGTTAAAATTTGAAATATTCACCACACTCAAAGTCCTTACAGAGTAGAATTTGGCAAATGCCTGTAGGAAAATTGAATATTACTGGAGTTTTTCCCAACACCAAATCGTTATTTTTAATCTCAAACAGTTTTAATTAAACAGTTTTAATCTTCCTCTTCCTTCCTCGAAACACGTGTTGGGGTGTTAAAAATAACAATTTGGTGTTGGGAAAAAACTCCAGTAATATTCATTATTACAATAACTNTCGAGGTGTTAAAAATAACGATTTGGTGTTGGGATAAAACTCCAGTAATATTCATTACTGCACCAAAGGTTACAAACAGTGCATCATATGTAGGAAAATTACTCACACGAAGCACATTTCCTCTGTGAAGAAACTTTCACAAATACCTGTCGGATATAATTCAATATTCTTCCTGGTATAAGCCAGAAATGTAGTCGTTTTCTGGTATAAATTTGCAAAATCACACTTGATAGAGAGAGCGGGTGAGTTAAATGTTCACAATTGGAATTCGAAAAATTTATTTTCTCAATTCGTATATATGTCTCGTCGTCATAGTCATCAGACTTATTTTGATTTTTGGTGGAGTTCTGGTACATGGGAAGCTTCTTCTCCACTTGAGATCGTCTTCACGAGATTGAACTGTAACTCGTCGAAGCTTTGCTTTGTAACTGACCGCTTTGGGGAACCTCGTTTAACGTTGATATTCGAGGATTGAGTTCTCTGTTGATCCCATAGATGACGTTTTCGTGAGAGGAGATGTAATCATCCTTGTTTACTCAGGCTTGTTCTATAAGGACAGGTGCTTTGTGTTTGGGCTCTGTTTTTCAACCTCACCGCAGTTGAAATAGATCTTAGAAGAAAGCTTGGTATATGCTGTCGAATTTCGATGGAATCATATGCCCTGCCTCGAAGAGGAAACCCCCCGTAACTAGTTGAAACGTTGCTAATTTCAGGAACTGTAACTGATATTTCTGTAACTATTTCTTCCTTTTTGTTTTAAAATTCTGCCGAGATTTCGAGTTTCTCCATATTTCGTAAATTTATGGTTTTTTGAGAAATGTCATGGATTTGAATGCCGTTGTCAAGAATTGTTTGTACTTTTCCCTTCTTCTTGAAAGTACTGATCGTGAAGCTGACATCTTCCACATTAACAATGTACACCCTTATAAACCTATACAACCACTATCGGTGTTAACTGCCGGTCCTTAATGAATTTATTACCTGAATTTTTTTTACCTGTGACAATGTGGGTACGTTAATCTGAAAACTTGTGAGTAGACTAGGTCAATTTGGTCATTCAGTTGGTTACATTCGCAAATCTTATGTTCATGAATTTCCAACGCTTTCAAATAATTGAGTTTCCAAACTTTGCTTATATAGTGCAAAATTTCCGCATCGTTTAAATTCGGAAACTTGTGGTTGCATTCCAAGGAATGGTTCGAAACGCGTACCAAATCTGTTTACTAACGAGGTCTTACCCTTTATTGTGTGATTCTTAATACGGGTTGGGCGATAGCAAGTGAAAATCGATCGTACAACCTGGGGCTTGAACCAACGACGAACACGGCGGTCGATTCGAGTGAGTGAACAAAGAACCCACGTCGAACCGACCGGCTACCGTCCGGAATTTTTTAGGAAAAACAATGTGGAAGTGACATTCAGGTCACATGCCAGGTTATCTGATTCAATTTTCAATGCCAAAGATAAAGAGGACAAGATGGAGAAATCTGGAGTTTATAAGCTTAAGTGTTCGGTGTGTAATAGTGTTTATGTGGGACAATGTAGCAGACATTTCTCAAAACGGTATGCTGAACATAAAAGGTCCTTCAGGCCAGGTAGAAATGATTTGACGTCTTCAAACCGTTCCTTGGACTGCACTCAAAAAATCCCGAATCTAAACGATCCGAAAATGTAACACTATGCAGGAAAAGGTTGGAAACTCAATTATTTGAAATCCTGGGAAATTCATGAACATAAGATTTGCGGATGTAACCTACTGAATGACCAAATTGACCTAGTCCACTCGCCAGTTTTCAGATTAGCGTACCCACATTGTCACAGGTAAACAAAATTNTCATGCTGTGAAATTTTAGATGTTGAAGAGATTATTGTGTATTCATATTTATATATTTAGGTCACGATCGACACAAATTAATTATAAAATAAATTAGTGTTGTTTCTAAAGTAATTTACCTCATCAAGTTTATTAATAATTCATTATTCATTTATAACTAGTCAAGTAATTCAGGATTTCCGAAATTATTGTAATGATGGTTTCTCGTGCGCAGCTCTAGCAAGTAAACGAGATTCAATGAATATATATCGACTACTTCCAGTTATCATTGAGGGGGTAAAAAGAAACTATTGATAACAAATAAAAAATTAAATGAAGAGTTTTAAGAAGCATAAAAATGTATGTCACGAGCTCTAACCCAAATGTTTTATTATTTTTTCGAGCTGTTTCCCACTACTTCATTTCGGTAGACTTATTTTCAAAAAAGTTGTCATGCCTTTGCCTATTTCTGATTTAAAGGAAAGTAGTTTTACAAACTGTAAATAATTAACCAAGTTTCAGTTGAAGTGAATAAATAGTATTTTTCTCTAACCAATATTTTAAACGTGTCTCTTTCAATCGACCTAACTATCATATTCATGAACCGATTGCAATAAATAGAAAACCTGAATCTTTCCACGATACATTCGAGATTTGCGCGAACAAAGGCATGAACAGACAATAAAGCTGAAAATCATTGTTTTTGGTTGTACTCGTCTATATAAAGACATCCAATGATGATTTTCTCGAATATTTTTCATGTACGCAGACAACGATAAATTATACTCTTATAGGAATGTAGGCTTTCACGGCTGGCGTCAACGTTTTGATTGGTTTCCGGGTTTTGCCGTGGTCTTCTTTGGTTATAACAGAGGAGCCCAAGCGGGGATTTTGGGATTTACTGAAGCGCAGCAGATGAATATACAGGGGGATACCTTGTACCCGGTTAAGTACCTCCACCAAATATGAGCCCCATATATAAGGCCGCCCGTGAAGGATAACGGATCAGATTATTGAAAAAAATTGATCATCAGAAATTTTCGAACGCATCAGATTAAGGTAGGGTGAGTTGATTACATGCTAAAAAGTGTATATTCCAGTAATCTGACAATTTGAGAGTGACATAAAGAAAGGGGAGGGCAGCAAAGTTGTAAAAAAAACGTCATACATTCAGGTCACATGCCAGGTTATCTGATTCAATTTTCAATGCCAAAGATAAAGAGGACAAGATGGAGAAATCTGGAGTTTATAAGCTTAAGTGTTCGGTGTGTAATAGTGTTTATGTGGGACAATGTAGCAGACATTTCTCAAAACGGTATGCTGAACATAAAAGGTCCTTCAGGCCAGGTAGAAATGATTTGACGTCTTCAAACCGTTCCTTGGACTGCACTCAAAAAATCCCGAATCTAAACGATCCGAAAATGTAACACTATGCAGGAAAAGGTTGGAAACTCAATTATTTGAAATCCTGGGAAATTCATGAACATAAGATTTGCGGATGTAACCTACTGAATGACCAAATTGACCTAGTCCACTCGCCAGTTTTCAGATTAGCGTACCCACATTGTCACAGGTAAACAAAATTCAGGCAATAAAGTCATTAAGGATCGCCTGTTATTACCGACAGTGGTTGTATTGGTATTAGTATATAAGGGTGTACATTGTTTACTAATTACAGTTTATTTTATTCGTTGGAAAATGTCATTGTAGGACGAAACTGCAGTAACGTTAGTTACAAATACAAGTCGTATAAAAACATAGATAATTTTAATTCTCATTTTTCATGATGATCTACTACCACGTAGTAATGTCTACATCCATCAAATCATCCTCTGTAATCTCTGTAGTTTATTTCAGAATTCCATTAGTTCAGACTTCCATTATCCAATGTGATATAAAATAATTTGAAATTCCTGAAAGAATCAATAAAATTAGAAGGAATAGCTGAAAATACCAATTATATTAAGAAAAAACCCTGAAATGGAATTACAATAAAATAAAATGTAAGCAACAATTGAAAATTGAACAATTAAAAAAATAAAAGTGTTCAAGCCAAGTTACTTCTTGACGTTTCGATTGTTAATATCCATAATCGTCTTCGGGTGATGAATCAGAACTAAACAGTTTCCTGAAGCACATCAACAGCGTAAGACCTTCCATCACTTTCACAATGGAGAAGGAAGTCCACAACAAATTGCCATTCTTAGACGTATTGGTGAAGAGGACCGACACTAAGTGGGAACGAAAACCCACTCACACGGGACAGTATCTGAACTACGAATCCAACCACATTCAATCGACTAAAAGAGGAATCATCAAGAATCTAGTAAACAGTACTTTCAGGCTCTGTAATATGAAGCAAGGTCTGGAAAAGGAACTAGGCATCATCAAAAATGATCTTCAGTGGTTACTCCAAAGTGATGGTGTAACAGACTTGGGCTAGATAACAGCAAGAGCCTCGCAAGGAAGAGAAGCTGTGCCAGTACTTGCACATCCCTACAATAGGGGATTTTTAATAAGGAAATTCATAGAAATTCAACAAAGCATTCAGGTAAGCTAGCATAGAGATACGCAACGTATGGAAACCCAAAATCAAGCGAAAACGGCCAACTCTCGCCAAACGATCAGCTCCCGCTAACCCGGTAAAGCGGAGAGAGGGAAGAGGGGATAGGTGAAAGCACTCGAATGACCTATAAATAGTCATCTCTCGGAGGAATAATCCAGTCATTACCCAAAGACGATTATGAATACTAACAATCGAAACGTTGTGAAGTAACCTGGCTTGAAATATTTTGATTCTTATTTCTTTTTAATTGTTCAATTATGAATTGTTGCCTGTATTTTATTTTATTATAATTTCATTTCAGAGCAAGAAATTCAGGGTATTTTTAAAATTGAACATTACATCATTTGAGGCCTGAATGCTTTAAGAATACCTACAAGCTTCTCTATTTTCTATTAGAACAAATCCAGATCTACTCGTATAACCATATCAAGTAAAAGGTTGGTGTTAAAATCATGAATGTAAAATATGACGAGTTTCAAAAGCAGAAAAATCGTCAAAAATGCAAATGAGTGGATGGTGTGATTTCTAGAAACTATGAAAGTGGTGATGTGCATGAAGAAAAATGGAAGGGTACAAGGAAGAAGGTTTATTTAGTGAGATAACGAAATCAGTAAAGGATTTTTTTAAAAACATTTTCAGTTCGGGTTGAACCGCGTCTGTAATATTCATCTGTTCGGCGTTTCGGCTTCTGCTTTGAAATCATTTTCAAGAACCACTTCAAATTGAACTTACATGATTCGACGACGGGATCGTAATCTACCTGACCCCCAAGTCTGGACACTGGCTTTGTTCTTGCTTTGTTCAGTTCCAAGTGAACATTGATAACCTTGTTGTTCAGGTTCAGTATTTATACTGCAGAACAGATATAGAGTAGAGGTATTGCAACAGGTACTCGACCTGTAAGCCATGTAATTTCAGTTTCAAGTGGTTCTTGAAAATGACTTCAAAATAGAAGTCGAAACGTCGAACAGATGAAAACTAACGAAAACTCGAAGAATATGAAAACTTTCACTCTCGGAAAATCAGAGAGACTATCGAAATTGAAAAACGATCTAGTAGTATGAACAATAAGGATGACGCGCAAAGATTACCAACAACAAGCAACATGAAGATCAGTCTTATCACTTCACGAAATCAAACACACTGCACAAACCCACCGCAGATGTCGATTTTAAACATTTGTCAAACCAACAAACACCGACATAAGAACTTGGCAAGCTGACTCGGGTGTCAAACAAATACGTGGTTCCACTTATGTCTCTTTTGTGTTTACGCACTTATTTTCATCAAGTACTCCTCTTGGTTCTTCTTATTGAGTGTCTTGATGTTATTAAAGACGTTAATAATTGGACATAGCACTCATACTGACGATGGGCCAAAAGCCCGAAACACGTGTCTATGGTTCGCGAATTTCTTGGGTGCTATGTCCAGGATCAATTACGAAACATAGGTATCAGTCGGAAATGTTTTAACTAGAGTATATCACTCATTCAAATTCGTCATTGTTTCAATTTCGAAATCAAAATAATGTTATCCTAGTAACATGCAGTTAATAGTGTTAATTCGCATTTGAAATGAAAATGCATGTTAATTCTGCAATCACTTGGAAACCACTCTGAAAATATTACGTCATGTGACATTGAATGCTGGCAAACAAAATAAATGAAAATGTTTCGTATTTTAACAGTTGAATGGTTCATGAACGTCACTCCCTGGATTCTGGCTAATTGAGTATTGCTCAATCATTTTTTTGTTGAACAAATTTACCGACATTGATAAAGTTTGTTTGTCAAGTGAAGTACCAAGACTGATGACAATGTTTGTGTCAACCAAGGACAATAGTAAAGATAAAACATTTCAATATTATTATGAAAAAGAGAAGTATTTGAATTCGCGAAATATCAGTCAACACTATAGTATAAATACATTCGTTACATTACCTGACATGAACATGAAACCAACAAGAAAGAAGTTTCATCTGAAAAACATGTTTTGTATAATAGGTTTGGGTTACTGGTCAATTTCCCGCTGAACACCTCACAAAACTGAAGTCGACGATCAGGATCATCATCGTTTAATTCCTAAACTACCCTTATTTTGAAAGGATGGAATTTGTAGGCTTTTAAAATCCGAAAAACACAAGTAGCTGATACACCAGTCGCTCTAGCTACTTGTCTGATAGATTGTCGATTATCCATTTGTACATGTCCTAAAACTGCAACTTCAACTTCGTCATTTCTGACAGGACGGGATACTTCATGTTTTCTGTTGTGAACAGAATCTGGAGTTCGAAAGTTATCCATTTACACGTTTAACTTATTGATAGCTCACATTGTGGTCTGGATTAGTGTGGAGTTACCCACAACTTTTCATCCACAGTTTATGACGCAGGACAATCGAACAGGGTTTAGAATGAGATTTGCGAACAGTGTTGCCAGATTGCAAATATTAATAATTTTACCTGTATCTTGATGTTATCATTTTAAAAACACGATATACTATTGAAACATGTCGAATAAATGAGTCAGCATTCTACATAAACTCATTATATCAGACAACTGTCCGTATACAAGCAGTAATACCGAAAAAAATGTAATGGATGTTTGTTGGTTGGTTGGTAAGTGATAAACTTCCACATCGCTCAACCGATCGTGATGAAACTTGACATGTATAAGTGATTTTTCATAGAGCAGAATTTTAGGCTATCAGTTTTTCTGTAACTCGCCACCAAGTGGCGTGTAGAACAATTTTTTGAAAGCACTGTTCTATAACGCTGCGCCTAAGTTCGTTGATTCTGATTCTGTCAAAACATTGGAACAGCAGCGATACAGCAACATAGTACTAATTAGTACCTACTATACAACTACCAAATTCTACGCGGGCGAAGCCGCGGGCAACAACTAGTATAATATAAATTGATTTGAAATTTCTGAAAAAATATTAGAAATAATTAACCAAAAAAACTGAAATTTCAGTTTTTTTGTTCAAATAAAATTGTTATCTTCGGTCCGAACGGATGGAATACACCACGAAACATTGTCAACCACCTTCAAACAAACGTCTGAATGCTTTGTTATGATTGAGTTAATCAATAATATTCTCCCTTTCAGATATACAAATAAGTTCAAAAAACAGATGAAACAATAATTGAAAAGTCACTAGAACTTTTTTTGTTGTACTTGCAGTATATTCTGTTGAGAAATGTGCTAATTCGAGGAGAAAAAAAAGGATAACTATAATAGCATTATGTGAATAGATAATTTACAATGTTTCAGGGATTACACGATTTTTAAAAATTCATCAAATAAATGAGGGTGACCAACAATTACCATAAGGACATATTTTAAAACTCCACTCTAAATTGACTCGTTCATCGAAAACCTTGTATCATTTTCAATTAGGTATAATTATGACTCAAATGGAAAATAACAAAATTACCATAGATAATCTGATATTGTCTGGACATCCGTCGCCAGACAGTTATTTGACAATAATGTGGCGGACTCGGAAACATAAAAATTGACAATGGTCTTGGAATTGACCGACAAAGGTGAACTTCATTTGGAGAGAAACAGGAAATTAAACGGGTTGATTATTGATTGCCGCTATTAAATTATTGTGACATGTGTGTGTAGATAACAGATCCGTACCTAGTTATGCAACTCTCAACCAAGCCTCACCGTAATATTCCTCAATTTGGTGGAATGGCATGATCTAGAACGTGCGGAAACTCTGACCCCCATACATGAAAATAGTTCCCGTTTTTACCTGAAAGGCGTACTTTTGAAAAAATAAGGTTTCTAAAGATTTCTAGGATCCTTCAGAACGTACGAGAGTTTTCGACATTCAAGAACATCTCGGAATATTCTGGAATGTTCGGAATTAGTCTGGAATGCTCGGGAACATTCTGAAATGTACCAGATCATTATGGAACTAAACGGCACAGAATATTCTAAAGTATCCCATCGATTTATCAGGCCACTTCAATTTATTTTTACGCGCGATTGTAATGTGAATGAAATAGTAACTTATTAATTCAATAAGGATTTATATCGTATCCGTCTATCGTATTCGACCATTAAAACAATAATAAATTACTCATTTCGTCCATTGGTGGAAACTCTATGAAAATCCTTTCGATAATTTTTGAGTTTCTCGCTCAGACAAAGAAACAGACAGACAAGATGGGGGTGTGTAATTTATAATATGCGCTGATGAAACTCTATTCCGTCCATTGGTGAACACCGAGAAGACTATTCGATTGACCAATACACGTACGTCGATAAAATGCAAGATTTGCTGAAAACATGCAGTCAATTTCGCGAGGATCACAAGAACTTGGCCTTTCGCAAAGCACAATTTGGCGATTTTTGCGCTCTGACTTGGACCTGCAAACTGCGCGCTTCGCCCATTTTTCGGTCGCCATAATCGTCCTACCGAGAGGCTTATTCGCAATGAGGTGGATAAAGATGGCGACTGGGAAAAAAAATTTAATGAAAAGGGGGATCTTGTGACACACATTTTTCAAGCTCCTGACTAATGCTTCACAACCCTAGAATATAATGTCAATATCTTCAACTACTACAAAATGGTGGAACTTTTAATAATTGCCTGAATACAATGACATTTAACTACATAATATGAGGTAATGAGCTTGAGGTCAGGTCAGAAGATGCTCGAAATGGTTGGCTTGAACTTCTTGACATATGAACAGCCTACCCGATATTTCACGCCGAACATTTTCGAACACAATAACGTCAATATCATTGCAAATATTTACTACTCTTTGTCGTATATCCAATATTGAAGAAGGTTCAGTTTCATAAACCTTTTACTTCAAATAGCCCCATAAGAAAAGTCCAAAGGTGTCAAGTCTGGCGAACGGGCTGGCCATTCTGTAGGACCTCGACGGCCAATCCAACGACCGGGAAAAGTAGTATTCAAATAGTTTCTTACTTGTCTGGAGTAATGTGGTGGTGCTCCATCTTGTTGGAGAGGGTCAATATTAGTTTCCAGCATATTCAAATACAGTTCCCCTGTTGAATTTTGATCAATAAATAGAGGTCCTACAACATGGCTTCCCAATATTCCTGCCCAAACGTTAATTTTTTCTGGATATTGGGTATATGTTTCCTGGAAAACATGAGGGTTGGTATCACTCCAATAACGGCAGTTTTGTCTGTGGACTTTGCCGTTTAAAAAAAATTCACATTCGTCACTGAAATAAATATTGTGGAGATAGGTAGGATGCCTTGCAATGGTTTCTGTCATGATTTCGCAGAATTCTGTTCTTCGATCAGAGTCATTTTCAATTAATTGGCATACCATTTTAATTTCGTATGGATGATACCTATTTCTCTTCAAAAGTCTCCACACAGTAGAAGGAGACACCTCACAAACATTCGCGATGGAATAAGTAGACTGTTTAGGATTTACTACTATCTCACCAATTATTTGCACCTGTTGTTCTTCCGGAATGGACGGATGACCTGGGGCTTTTTGTTATGTACAGTACCGAAAGTTGTGAATTTGGATACAAGTTCTCTCAAATATTTTCTACAGATACGACGATTCGAAAACGATAATTGAAAATCCTTTCGGTCTCGTGAAAGTTACGCGTCGCACCGTAAATAAAAATCGCTTCAATTTTTTCTTCCAATGGATGAGAATTAGCCATTTTAGAGATTGTTGACGTGGTACCTTTCTAGTAGTAAAACCGAAAACTAAATGATAATATTCTAATTGAATAATGATGTTCATTGTCGCACTGACATTTTTTGTCGTTTTTATAAACGAAAAAAAACTTAACAAACCTAATCAGGTTGTTGGAATTGTTATATGGCAGATAAAAAGGAATATTTCCAGAAATATCGGTATTAATGTGTTTGTCTTCAGGAAATTATTAAATGTTCCGCCATTTTGTAGTAGATGAAGATATTGACTTCATATTCTAGGGTTGTGAAGTATTCGCCAGGAGCTTCAAAATGATGTGTCACAAAACCCTCTTTCCATTTAATTTTTTTCCAAGATGGCGCCCAGTTGCCATCTTGAAAGTTCCATCTGTCAATTTCACTTCAAAATAAAGAATTCATGCAATAATTTCATTATCCCAAATTTAAATTTTTTGAGTTGATCCGTTCAAAATAAAAAAGGGGGGACATTGAAGAAATACACTGTATATAAAAGATACATGACCCCTCATTAGAATTAAGAGCTGACCAAATTCAGTGGAAAAATTAAGAAACATAGTCTACTTTTTTACAAGCTCAACTTTCAGTACAGCTAGATCTTCTGTTGGTCATTTAATGAAAGATACACCGATAGGTATTCCAGAATTAATTAGACATGAAACTTATCGATCTAAGTGGACAAGATTCTGAATTTTGTTTTACTGGCATCCATGTCGGAACCACTGAGTTGGTTGTCATACAATACAAGCCACATCCTAATGTTCCATGTAGGAATACATTGAAATGCTATACTGGGAGAATGCAGGAAAGAACAAAATTCCAGATCTCCATACTCCTTGAAATCGCCCTCACCATATTTCGTATAGAAGTGTATGATATGAAGACGTATTTAAGAATCACGGAGGAGGAGGCCATCTTAGAGCAAAAAGCTGTATTTTATTCAATAGCTAAGTAGACCTAAACTGACTAGAACAGCAAACTCTTCAGTTATGTTTCTGCAATTGTTTTCATGTTAAGTAATTAACTTTGATCTAAACTGTTGAAAACCACATGGATCAAGAATTCCGACGATGGCAACTTCAACCAACATTCCATTACAATCAAGTGAGAAAATAAATGGAAAGGTTTGATAAAATCATCACAAAAGAAAGCTGTTCGTATTCACCAGTGGATAATTCAACTTATGTGTAAAACATACGCCTGAAGAAGCTATTGTATATGTCAAGACACGTGTTGTGGTTTAGTGATAATATTACAATAAAGTATATCAATTACGTTGAAATGAATACAAAGTAGGCCAATCACATCTTTCATAATATTTCAGACAAATTTTTTTTCCATAATCTCGATAGAGTAGAGAAAATCAAAATTACAGGTTATCTTTCTGTAATTGAGAATATGAGTTGTAATCGATTATTCAGTGGTTCGGTTTTTGGGTGAAGAGTCTCCTGGATGTTTGAGAGTTTTTTCATAGAATGGTAACGAAAAACGTTGTAAAATATGACTACAATGGAAAAAAAATTGCCAACCGTACTTCAATATGAACATTTCCTATCGATATTTATCAAATTCAGCAAAACTAACGATAACATACCTTACTGTATTGTCCGAGAACGTATTTTAGAATACTGGAAGGCGCTGTATATAGCAGTGGTTCCAGTGCCGTGAGCAACAGGCACTTCTGCAGACAAAGCTTCAGTGCATTTTTGCACTTGTACTTCAGATCTTCAGACGATTGGTTGCTCTGATGCAAAGTTACCAATCTGGGAAAAATATTTGCTGCAGCCACCGCTTGAGAATGCTCTGGACTGTGCTTACCGATTTGTCCAATCGCCCAAGCAGTTACAGACAGAAGTTGATCATCTTCTGATTGTTCTAGAATGTTCGCCAGAATGATGATGATCTTGCAACTTAGCACTGACAATGCCAACTGTTCCGAGTGAGCTGAAACAATAACCATTCAAAAATGTTATTGCCGAAAATATAAAGATATTGAACGCTTTATCCAAGGTAATTATGTCATGTATTAATTGAATAAGTACATACTTGTACTTTTTTGGGAAAGAAAGTTTTTGGCTTTCTACTACTCCATCTTGATACAAAAAAAAGGAATGAGGGAAGATTCCCTCAAAAACTTTCTTTCCCAAAAATTAATCACTCCGAAAAATATAACCCCTTCAATACTTGCACTTAAATTGAGATTCAAGAGATATACACTTTTCACCATTCCTGGATGCTCTAGTTATGAGGAACGCCGATGAAGGTTTAGAATTTAATGAATATATGAAGAATATTACCACTTTCAGATATATATCTGTGACAACTCCCACCATTGTCCACAGAAAAAGTGGCGGGACATTTTCTCGCCACGTTCTCGTCACGTTCCCCACGATTAAAGAAATATATGATATCAAGAAAAAGTTATCAAGGAAATAACTGAAGTTGATTAGAAAATGAATATTCTTCAGAAAGTGTCTTTGCAAATTCACTACTCGTCAAAAAGACGAAGACTCGAAATTCAAAGTCTATTATTTGAATCAAAATACATCAACATATTTTTTTAAATTCGCAAAAAATTCAATAAGATAATGGCTTTCAACAAGTGTTCATTCATATCGTCTTTCGGGCAAACCGAAAGAAGAGATGATGGAACAGATAAAGTCTGCAATTTTTGGAATACGCTGTGAGGATTGCGATAAGAAGTATGTTGGTCAAACAAAGCGAACTATAATAGCTTGCTTCAAAAACCATGTTTTACATATTCGGTTTCAAAGACAAGAGTACTCGAAAGTCTCTCAAAGTGCCTTAGGGAATGGTCACAGAATAGGCGACAAGAGTTTTCCAGATGTCTTCGATGGTTTACATCTCGAAAAATGTGAAATGAGATCTTTGAACACCGATAGAGGTTCTAAAGAGCCCGTTGTTTATTCTCTTATGTAATAATCAAATGTAGACCACAGGTGAAGATTTAATCTTAAACAATGTATTAATCGACATTAGGTGTAATGACGATTTAATATATCTAATGAATCATATCAGGATTGTTCGTTCAGATGTTTATAAAAACATTACCGTAGCCGTGAAAATTAAAATTCAGTCAATCAGAAATGTAGGTACTATATTGTCAAAGAAAAAATTCTTATTAACAAAGCTTAAATGAAAAAAATCACAGTAACAATGGAACAATAAAGATTCTAATACTAGATGTAGACATGACAAGATTCTACAAAGCAGTTAATAATTGATATACATGTATAGATAAAATAAATAAATCAGTCGGTTCGACCTCAACGGTTAAGGTACTCAAAATCTGTCTTCAAGATATTCTTCCAAACTATAATTGGTTTTCGTGAGTAAAAGTTCCGTCACATGTTTTCGGAATGTTTTTGACTCTATTATACTTTTTATTTGAAATGGTAGATGATTGGATATCTTCCGACTCTCAAATATTATGGAATTTTTTGTTGATGTTGAAGTTGGCTTTGGTATTTTCCATGGTGTTATATATTCTTTCGGAAGGAAAAGTATTTTTTCTCATTTGAATAAGACATACTGTTTCTAGAAAGAAGATGCAGTAGATTGTTAGTATTCTACTCTTTATGAAGAGTGGTCTACAGTTATCCAACCGCTTGGCTCTACATACATATATATATATATATATCTTATCGCCCTTTTTTGTAGAACAAACACTGATTACATCAACTGCTTGCTACATAAACCCCAGAAAGCGATACCATACCTCAGATGAGACTCGACTAATGAAAAGTAAGAAGTTTTTCCTGCTACTATTACCAACTCCTTGGTGATGACCCTGATAGCGTAGCAGCCAAGTGCAAGTTTTTTGTTGAGGTGTTTTACGTGTTCATCAAACTTCAGGGTGTTATCAATCCATACTTCCAAGAATTTGGTGCACGTCTTATTTTCGATGATATGCTTCTGGAGGCTTAGGTTTCTCGAAACAAATTTAAACGAAATTATGTGAGTTTATTCACATTGAAACATGAAGAATTGGAATCACACCAAGATTTGACTTTCTCTAAATCAGTTTCAATTATATTTTCTAGAGAGTCTGTATTATTTCCATGCCATAGTAAAGTTGTATCGTCTGCAAACATCGTAAACTTGTATGTCGATATTAGATAGGTCATTCACATAGCTAAGGAACAAAATGGGACCGAGCACTGATCCTTGGGGGACTCCACAGGTGATTTTATAATGACTAGAATTTTTGTTCTGCAACTTTACCATTTGAATTCTATCTGAAAGATAAGATCGGAACCAATTAAGCAGTTTTTAGTGCATCCGGAAATACACGAATTGAAAATGATACTTTAATTGACTCTATCAAGGGAAAAAGGGCATGATCTGGTAGTTTTTCTAATGAATTTACTGATATTTTATCGATTCCATGCGTTTTTTAATTTTTCAGTTACCTAAATGTTTCCTCAAGTTCTTTAATATGTGTATGATCTAAAATGAATTCATCTGAAATTATTACGTTACTTACGTTATTACGTTACCTGTTTCTGCTATTGTACAATAATACACATTGAAGCTATCAGGGTTGATGTCAATTTGCACTGGAAGCTTGTTTGTTTTGCCTCTCAGATCATTGAAAATAGCCCAGTTCTCTTTAGATTTATTGGACGCTTAGGAAAGTCTCTCATTATAATATTTCTCTTTGGTATATCTTATAATTCTTCTATATATCTTTCGGTACTCATTGAAAAAGCTGTGGAAGAAATCACTTGTAGTGTATTTCATCATCATGTGTAGGGCCCTCATATTACTTGAAGAGGTTCTGATTCCTTTGGTTATCCAAGGCTTTTTCAATTTACTTTTTTGCATAGGAAAACACTGTACGAAGACCTCAGTCAAAATATCGTGAATTACACTTAGGGATTCAACAGAGTTCAAAACACCAAGCCAGTTAACTCAATTGGCATTAAGTTGGAACTTGGAGAAGTTTTTTTTGTATAAAGCTGCCATCCCTCTGCCTCTCACCATTCCCCCTTTTTTATATCCTAGTGAAAAATGTGTGACAGTAGCTTCATGATCCGAGAGGGACACAGGGATAACGTGAGATTGAGTACTCTCTTCATTAAAATTAGGGCAAACATAATCTATAGTAGTAGCAGAGGATTTTGATATTTCGAGTCGATTGTCTTACATGCATTGTCAGATTGAAAGAACTCAATAAGGGTTTGAAAGATTGAGTGGTTGTATCTTCCTCTGTAAAGTTTATATTGAAGTGACCCGCTACTACTATTTTAGAATTTACAGATAAATTTGTGAGAATAATCTCCAGATTTCTGAGGAAAATATTGACGTTAGAATTTGGAGATCTGTTTAAGCAAAGGATGTTAATTGAATAGTCCGTTTAATTCTAAAGATAATTTGTTGTTATCCATTTGTAGTGCCTGATTTTTTTGCAGTATATTCAGATTCTCGTCTTTAAGTTATAAAATAGTTCTTTTTGGTTCATTGATGTCTTGTTCTGTATCATAAATTATACCCTGTAAGTCTAAAGAGGATCTTCTCAGTCTTTGGGCAAATTTTTTTTTCAGTTATTTCCTCTTGTAATTTTGCAATTGTTTCCATCATATTCCTTGTAATTTCTTCTTGTTCCATTTCATTCTCGTTTATTTCATTGTCTTTGAGCTTTAGTTGATCTTTGAGGTTCATGATAGTCAATTCTAGTTTCGCATAATTCTCTTCATCCTCAGCTTTCTTGTTTGAACATTCTTTCGAGCACAAAATCTTATGTCCTCCTATTGTAATTACATTTATTTTCTTTTTCAAGCAGCTTAGGTGAAAAACATCGTGGCACTTTATACAACACTTATTAGCATCATGATGATGCTAATTTGGATGGCGATACTATTTGTCTGGTGTACGGAAAGTGTTTTTGATAGATGAGAGACACTGTGTCATTTATTTGATTTATTTTTTTAATAAACGTGCAAGCACTCTTAATTAATATAATAAAGCAATGGGCTTGTTTCATGCTATTGAAAATGACACTGGTTTGCTTACAGACTGATCGAGTTAGGGATATATTATACTTATCGAGCCTAATCGGCCCCAATACCTCTTTATATTTGCAGAAAATTCGAGAAGCAAGAGTTTAACTTAGCCGCGTAGCTGTTGACGAATAAAATTGATCGTGTCTACAGCGCGGTGTTGTCAAGTGCCAATTAATTTAACAAAAATACGAAGTTATGAAACATTAGAAAGATTACATTGTCTCATACATTCAAGGGAGACAGTTGACTGGGTGGCAAATATGGCTAATATATAACGTTGAATTTCTTATTTTTGGTGGGTGGCATGAATGCATAATTTATTTATTTTATTAGGGTTCATGAGCCTTCGAACCATGGTTTTCGAGTACATTTTATTTCATATGGAGAATTTTTTCATAAATTAAAACGTTAACGGATTCATATACACATATAAAATTTCTATGATATCAACATGAAAATGTCTACTGCCGGAGATATTTCAAAAATAACGTTTTTATTGCGTTTTGTGATATTTGGATCTCATGTATAATTAATTCTCCCTTCCAATGCATTTATTACACTTTCATCTCAGATTTAGTTGTCTGAAGTGAGTGTGATTTTACTTTGAATCGCGAATGAATCAGAAACTGTTTATACGCTCCGTGAACTTTACAATTTGGCAATGTTCATTATTTGTTTTGTTCCTATTGGTCAATCGAACAAGAAGCGGGACTAGGCCTATGACGTCAGGAGCCTAGAAAATCCACTTTTTGATAATTAATTACGGGAAAACAACGTTATTTAGAGAGCTGACACAAAGTACACAATTTGAAATTACTACCAAATGAACTGTAAACCAAAAATCATGAAACAAGCCCATTCCTTGCTTCTCGATTGGAATATTCCGGTGATAGTTTACTCCATATACTTGAAATATATTCGATACTTTTAGTGGAATTTAAAGTTTTGAAAACAATTCTTTCTTCTTCTGAGGCAAAGGCTACATTTCAAGTTTTCTAACAAGAAGGAAGAGAACTTTTATTTGACAAGCCCACAATACACAAGTACATGCTAGATTTTTTTGCTAGACGTTTTTTGTGAAGGAGTCAAAGCTTCTTACCGTGGAAAACGTTATACAAGGTATGTTCAAAAAATGAAGTTACTTTTCATTTTTCTTAAAAAATGTTTATTTGTCCATCAATTTCTGTTTTGTCTACTTTGAAGTAGCCCCTCTCAAATACAATCTTTGTAGCAGCTCTGATATGCATTTTTTGTTATGTCCTTGAGGTCTCTCAGCGATTCGATTCCTATCTCCTCAATCGTCGCAAAACGCCGTGCTTTCATGGGTCTCTTCAATCTTGGAAACAGGAAAAAGTCGTAGGGGTGCATTATCGTGATTTAAAAGCCATGAATTGTTTTTCCACAATACCGGATTTTTTTTTATTATTACTTCTGGCAAGCAGCGCATCATACTCCTTATTAATAGCACGACCATATGACAAAAACTCCTGATGCATTACGTCACGAGTAATCGAAGAAATCAGTGAGCAAAACCTAGACATTTCATATTTGATCGAACTTGCCGTCCTTTTATGGTCTTGGCTCTCCTGGGATCTTCCATTGGGTCAATTGAACTTTGGTTTCGATGTCACAACCATATACCCATGATTCATCAACAGTTATGATCCTTTCAAACAAATCTGGACAACAATTTCTGAACGACACTCATGAGGCGTTTTTTTTTGGACAAAATTCAGCAATGGTAAAATCCAGCCGATATACTCATTAACTTCTCTATTAGTGATTCGACGATTCTTCATAACAATTTTTTTCACTTTCTCATCATTTTCATCGGTTGTTGATGTGCTGGGGCGTCTAGGTCGAGGCATCGTCATTCACATCTTCTAGACTTTCTGTGAGAAGCTTGTACCACTTATACACATATTTCTGACTCAGAGTATAATCACCGTATGCCACTGTCAACAATTTGATGCAAATTCTTTGACTCATTTTTTTTATAGCAGAAAATCGTCAATCACTTCAAATTTTTATGCCTCTCACCGACAAACTGAACATGCTGAACAGTTGAAATTGTGAACATGTGTTCACAGTTTCATCATGAACATCATGAACATCATGAAAGTATTTATTTCAAGGACAAAACACAAGCACTACAGAAAAATACTTAAGGTGCTCTTAGCGATTCACATTGGATTTGAATCGATGAAGGTTAAATCCATTTGAAAACCGTTCTCACATAAACGCCGTTCTTCAAATGATAGTTCTCAAACGCTAAAGTTCGAGGTGTACTGAGTTGAACCTCAAAACGATTAGCCACAATCAATGCATATTTCTGATATACCCCTCTTGGTGGAATCAAATGTGCCAGGTCACTTGAACACTTCCTATAGAAGACAGACAAATCTTCAACTTTCCTTCGATGTTCCGGTCTATCATGGTTGCACGTGATGTTCGCGTCTCCAATCAGGCGGATGCCTCTTTTGTGGATGTAATCAAGTAACTTCAGGGTATGTTTGGGGACAGAGCTCCATACATGAGAATAATTCTCCAAAGAAGGTCTGATCCGAGCTTTATTAAACATCAAACGTTGCTGAGGTGTGTACAGTTTTCTGGTTTGGAATAGTGTTCTAAGCTTTTGAGAAGCAGCGTTTGCAATTCCAGCGACATGATTGTGCCACGACACATTGGTGTCCATTTTAACTCACAACAAACTCATCAAAGCAGAAAGCAGAATTGTCTGACCTGACATTATTGTTTCGGAGACATTTAGCTTCTTGGAAAAAACCTACCTGGGTTTTTGTGGCATTGAATTGAACCTGGTTACCTACACCCCAATTCAAAATCACTTCTGGATCCTCATTAAGATATGCAACCTCCTGCTGCCGGTGAAGATGTGCCTTCAGAGCCGATTTCCTGGAATCCAAATGGAATGACGAGACAAATGTGCTGTCGTCAGCAAAGCAGTATATTGGATTCTTGTTTTTTCCAATGAGTAGCTGATATACAATAAAAAGAGGGTTGGAGACAATGTGAATCCCTGGAGAACACCAGCGTTGATGGTGAAAGTGTTCGAGAGATACTCCGTCGACGGCCACTTGCGGGGAAAGTTCTTTCAGGAAGCTGAAGAGCCATACACAAAAATGATCCGACAAGCCATAGCATCGAAGTTTGGGCAGCAAACCCTCATACCACACACGGTCAAACGCCTTAGAAATATCATGCGCAACAGCTCTTGATTTTCCATGTTTCTCGATTGTATTTATCTAAATATGGTGACATACGATAGAAAGTCGCCTGTTGATTTTTGTTTCCGAAAGCCACATTGATGATCGATCAAGATGTTGAAGCCTTCCAAATATTTGAGGATATGGTGGATATGGTATGAAGAGAAGACAGATAACAAACTCGGGGATAATGGAGCATATTCAAAAATCAATCGATGATCATGCAATAAAATGTAGTGAAAGAAAATTGTTATGTGGGATATAGCTGAAAACAACGGGTTTCTTATAAATATAGTAGACAAGTTGACTAGGAAACGTAAATTCAGGAAGAATATACTCAAATCTTCAACTATTGATTCAAAGTTCATTATCCTGACATATGAACCAAGATACATTAATGGTTTAGATCGTATTCTTAAAAATTTTTTGCTGACTTCAACGAAGGTTAGGTTAGTTCTGTAATTTGAGAAAATGTGAAAATTTATAGAAAACAAGAATTATATTTGATTGCGATGATATTTTGTCCCTCCAGTAGCCAGGTAATCTCACCCGAGATGAATCCCAACGCTGTAATGGATGGTAGTTTAGCTCCTGATATGTCGTCCGCTTGATTCAGGACCTCCATCAGAGCTCCAATACCTCCTGTATTCACGACAAGTTGTGTCAGTTCCAGAGAATGTTTGACGATATCTCTAACAAGACAAGCAGCATTTCTACGAACAGCTGGACAGGGATGAGCTAAATGAAGCAGGACACTGGGAAATATTTCGGCTTCTACAACTACTTCTGCTAAATCCATTGTATGTTTCGCACAAGAACCTGGAAATGAAGTTATAATGATAACGTTCATTATTCGTAAGGAAAATACAATACTCATAGAAGGAATATAACACAAACATCACATGTATATCTAAATACAGTCAACATTACTAAAAAACAAATGTTTGTTTGGATAACAAAACGAGAAACAAGAAACAGTATTTTTGTTCTGGTGTTGGAAGGTAAGCTTATGCTGAATTTTCAAAAAGATCATTTGATATCTCTTATGAAAGTATTTTTTTCATATTCATAAAGAATCATATAACCCCCTGAAAATATAGCATTTAGCATGTGTGGAAACTGTTTCCAAAACAAATGTAATAATATATGAGAATATTATAACCTTGAAATAATAGAAAAAAAAGGAAGAAATGTGTCAGTTGTTCAATATATGTATATTTTTTCTGATTATTTTTGAAGGAAGGAAGAACATCAAGCTTTAACAGTTGAATTACTATTGTAAATGGCTATTTTATTAGAGTCAAATGATTATTTTTACAATTCAATTTAAATTTTTGCAGATTTCAGAGTACCTGATTATCTCGTTTCATGACTGTGGGTATCTAAATCAATTGAACGATGTTTTGTTTTTCTCATATGTTTTGTTGGGTGACTAATAGGATACATTTTTTTTCTAAATAACGAGCCAATGTCTACGAAACTCCTTGGTCTATTTACTTTCGGGATTGGTTTTAAAAAAGGTAATTTGGAAATTCATTCGAAATTGTCTCATTTTGTAAAGACTTCAATCTTTTACATTTCAGCAGTGTACCAAATTGATATTAAAAATCGAATTTTTGAATGAATTCTATTCAAAAAATCTGTTTAAAATATGTTTTTCCGTTAACCAGCTGTCGCCCCCCTACGAATGACAACTATCTAAAGTCGAAACTTGCGTGAGCTAAGGACTAACGAGGTCTTTCCTTTTAACGTGCGATTCCTAACACGGGATGGACGATGGAAAGTGAAAATATATTGTCGGGCCTTGCGGCTCGAACCACCGGTTCACACGGTGGTCGATGAATGAGTAGAGCAAACCACCCACCTTAACCAACCGCACTGAAATATATTACTTTCAGATATTGGATAGGTATGAACGATGTCAATTATTATTATGGTATTCCAGTTATTGAAGGTTTTTCCTTTTAGGATCAGGTATTTATCAAAATTTACCGATAATTTGTGAAGTTTCAACTATTATGAAATCATTTTGAAATCATATTCCGTATGTATTTTGGATTAATTCAAAGGGGTATGTTTTTAGGAGAGATTAATTTTTAGGAAAAAAAAAGGTTTTGGCTTTCTACTTCTCTATCATTATATACAGGGTGTTAATTCGATCCTCACCATTGGGATCTCGGAAACTATGAGAGATACGAAGATTGTTAAATTGGGGCAAAGTTGCGCATTTACCTCACAAACAATATGCCGTTGAGAAAGTTCTAAAATTCCGAGTATATCCGAAGATATCCGGAAAAAACTGAAATTTCGAAAAATGGTTTTCTGGCTTNAAGGCGATTAGAATTTTGTAATTGGCTAATAAGAAAACCTGGTTTTCCTGGAAAATGTAATTTGGACAGATGAAAGCACTTTTACGAGTTGTGGGATATTCAATATGAATAACGATATATTTGGAGTATAAACAACCCCAGGCAGTTCCGAGAAATTTGACCTGAAGTGCGATTTAGTATTAACGTGTGGGCAGGAATTTACAAAGATAGAATTTTGGGTCCTCATTTATTTGACCGAATTATGAATGGAGAAACCTATCACCAGTTTTTAATGTTGATTTTCGAAGATATGATCTATCTTTGGCTAACTATTACATCTGGTTTCAACATAATGGTTCTCTACCGCACATTACCAGAAGAGTATCCAATTATTACCTGTCTGAAAGGTTTGGTGATAAATGGATAGGGAGTAATGGACCGGTGAGATGGCCAGCAAGGTCTTCAGACTTAAGTGTTATGGATACATTTTTATGGTTTATGGTCAGAGGGAATATCAAAATATTGAGGACCTTCAACACAGCATTGTTAGAGAGTTTGTAAGATTGAGGTGGAGAGAAATTAATCGTGCAGTGAATAATATCCGAAGAAGGGCACAGTTGTGTTATCATGAACAAGGCCAGCATTTTATTTTCATTGAAAAGGACACAATGTCTAATTTACCTCACCTCATTCATCAAACCTACTGTGATAGCGAAACGTCGTGATATTTTTGAAAAGGGAACGACATGGGTATAAGTGAATATTGAAATCATACAACGCACTCCAAAAGTATTCATGTTAAAACATTTGTTCGAATATCTTTGAACTTTCAATTAGTTCTCAAATATCCAAACAAAATAATAAGTTGGAGACTATTTTCAAACCTCCGTCTAGCTTTCGTGGTCCATCTGAGTAATTTTGCCGATGCAACTTATGACATATCAAAACAATACTGGATGTCCGGTGTTTTTGAACTTCGGTTTCATCAATGGACGGTAATTTTAGAAATACCAAGTTAGATCTAGTGTAACCTAATATTTCCCTCTGTATCATATATTTCACAAATGTATCACTAAAACTAGTAGTAACCTTCACCTTATATGTGACGAAATAAATTAATGAATGTCTTACTCAATGCACAAAGTATTTGTTTTTTCAGTCTCTCATCAGTATTGCTCAGATTCTTAACTAGGTAAGGAATAACGCCGGCGTCTACAATACTTTGTGCCAATTCGACGCTGTGTTTGGAGATATCGGATAATGCACTCGTAGCAATTTGCTTCAAAGATAGTTCGGGCTCTTGCAAGCAGAGAAGTAACATAGGAACTGCACCAGCGTCAACACATGTATGAGCCATATTTTCAGAATGTCTTGCGATGTAACCTATTGCCCAAGCTGCTGACTCTTTCACCTGAAATAATGAAATGATATATCAATAATGACAGGAGAAAACAAGATTACGAAATCATCGTAGCCTTTGAACCTCCAGAAGGACGTATCATGTTATCCGTTATCTCGACAAGTTGTTGTAACTTCCTGTATATTGAAATATGCAGGAAGTAATTATTGGAATCTCATTTGAAAAAATATTTGCCTGTGAACGCAAACTTTATGCGGGTTAGTTGGTTTTTTACTTTTTTTGAATATGAAATAATTTTGTGTATTTATAATCTGAGTTCGTCAGTTACTTCACAGGTTCTCGCTCACCATTGTTAAATGGAACTTTCAGCTGGTTGATTTGTGGACATTAAAATCACCATGGCTATAGACTTTTTCCGCTATTTTGTGTTGCCTGGAGGTCGATAAGCTCAATTTATCAACTAATTTTATCTGACGTTCTTCTTTTGAGGTTCTAAATCTATATCCTACGAAAATTGACTGAGAAAGTATCAGGATAATTTGTTTATTGGTGTTGGTTCACGGAATTGATATTTGAGTAAAGTCCTCTGACGTTGTAGAAAAACTCATTTCAAAATGTTCTGAGGGTAAGAAAATTGAAGTCGTTTGATTTTCAGAGAAAATAATTTTCTGCTGAGGTATAAAGTGTTTCGTTATGATGTGTATGCTATGGTCAGTGCTAATAGATTTATTGTTTTCTGATTTATTAGCCATGATCGGCAGGTTTCTTTCAACACAAGTACTACAGGAAAATCCTTAAGGTGCTGTCAGAGGGGTGCCTGTGCGAAAGTAGCGATTCACATTGGATTTGAATCGCTAGAGATTAAATCCATTCGGAAAAACGTTCTCAGGAAGTTCATTTCACATAAACACAGATGAAAACCCCTTTCTTGTGAGGCAGGTTGAAGAGTCTGCAAAATACTGGTGCGAGTTCATTTGCGCACTTTTTAAGTATACAAATGGACCAAATAATAAGTGGAATGTTGATAATATGTAAACAATAAAAAAATAAAAATAATTAATCAGGAACCGAATACGTTTTATTGCAAAACAATACTGATAATGAAACAATAATGAGACAAGTAATAAATCAAACTGATAAACACCGCAATATCTACCAATTGATAGAGCGCAGGATGGGCTCAAATTAATAGAAACATGGTGTAAGGAACACTCACTCTCGATCAATCCCAAGAAGACTGAGATGGTCCTTTTCACTAGGACAAGAAGTTTAACGGGCTTAAAACCTCCCGAAATCTTCAAAAGCAAACTAACCTTCTCTGAAGTGGTAGAATACCTTGGAACTATCCTCGACACGAAGCTTACATGGAACTCTCATCTACATAGTAGATCAAAAAGAACAAATAATTTTAGGACTCAGTGGCACCTACGGCCTGATGACTTCGACAATTGCGAAACTAGTCAAATGTTACACCCATGCTCAATCCCAATAGAGATGGGATGGAATCAAAGGATGCAGTTTTGACAGCATCACCTTGGGTGACCCTGGGAAGCTGGCGCCAAAGAAATATCTGGCAATGATCTGGAAAATCTACGCCCAACAGTAGGATTTCTGAGTGGCCACTGTCAACTAAGAAAACACCTCCATAATAAGGGGCTGGTGGACACACCTCTATGCAGGATGTGTGAACAGGAAGATGAGACTGTCAGGCATGTCCTGTGCGAGTGCTCGGAGTTATCGTCAATAAGAGAGTGTGTGTTCGGCGAGTCTTGGCCTACACCTGCCGATATAAAGGAGAGGTCTCCCAGTGACATGTCCACCTTCCTGAATAGGACAGGATGGACGATGACCTAGGAGGACCAACTCACCCTCCCTACTCTACAAATACATATACAGATCTACCAATTGATAAAAATATTGTAGCATTCAACCCTTTCTTATAAGACAGATTGAAAAGTCTGCAAAATACTGGTGACAGAATTTCTTTCTGAAATTGCGTCAGAGTATCGTAGTTTGCGCATCGCAGCAAATTAAATTACTTCGACTATTGCCTCATCACCTTTGATAATAATGACTGCCGTATACAGGCGAAAAGTCAGGGTCAAAATCCTGTAGGCTACGAATAATGAACTCGATAACATTTTTTATATTTAGCATATCGATTTGTTTTTGTTGATTTGAAAAAACATTTTTCGAGGTTCGTCGGTTCAACTGAAAAATGTATCGAGTACAATTATTTCTGCAAGTGTAGTTGAAATATTGGTATGATAAAGGGTATTCAATTTTTCTTCAACTAATTTGTACCCTATATCATTTTGATGTGTATATTCGAAAGTTGATATTGGGTTCATTGGCAACTGGAGTTGGGTACTATACTATTTTCTCGTGAAACTTGTGCCTTCATGTCTCTCGGAAATGGTGATTTTCAAGTAACCTCTGTAGGATGATGAGTCCTCCCCCGAAAATCCCATTGATTGTATTTTATTTTCTAAGCATTTTGAACCCAAGTGAACCAATCATGCATTTTATTCGTTTCTACCTTTCAAACTGAAAACAATTGCGCAGCAACGAAACGATTGCTGTTTCAATATTATCTCATCGAGGTGCTAGAGTTGTGAGTGATTTGCTGGTTTCCCCTCACTGTGTGTGTTTCTTGTGCTCGGCAATGTGAACTTTCAATGGCCTCTTAGTTTCACCGATATAGGATTTTCCGCACTCACAGGGTATCCGGTGAATGCAATTCTTGGAATCGAAGTCCGCGTTTAGTGGCCTGGTTTTTGTGAGGTTGCTATGGATAGTATTTCCGGATCTGAAGTAGATTCTGATGTTGTACTTGGACCCAATTCTTCTTATCCTTTCCGATAATCCTCTAATGTAGGTTGTGACGGCTTCTCTTTCTTGCGATGCTCCTGCTGTCTTTCAACCAAAGTCTGTTCCACCATCGCTCTGGAGTAGCCATTTAGTTGAAGATCATTTTTGATGGTATCTAGTTCCTAGAGATCTTCCTTCGTATTACAGAGCCCGAAGGCACGGTCCAATAGAGTCTTGATGATTCCTCTTTTAGTCAATTGATGGTGGTTAGATTCGTGGTTCAGATACTGTCACATATGAGTAGGTTTTTGGTATACAGATGTTTCCCACTTAGTTCATTCAAGGATTTCAAATCATTTTATTTAATATCAGACAATGAAAGTCCGAACTAATGGAATGTATCGTGAAACATTGTCAATCACCTTCAAATAAGCGAAAAATATAATTTCAATAAAATAATCATCTCAACTTGGAATTGGCCGTGGTGGTAAAGCGCCCGACTCACGACCGGAAGACCGTAGGTTCGATTCCTGCCTCGACAAGATGTTTTTCTCAAAAGAATTTATCTGGTTGAAGCTGGGATGATTCTGCAACCGTGTTAGGAATCACACGTTGAAAGGTAAGACCTTGTTAGTCCTTAGCTCGCACAATTTTCTCAACTTCTGAGAGTTGTCGTTCGTATGGGGGCGACAGCTGATCAACGGAAAAACAGATTTTAAACAGATTTTAAACTGAATCATCTAATAAGGGAGTCATATCAACTGTTCCAGCTAGTCTATCATAATGAGAATATGCCTCATTTTGCTGAAACGTAACAACAGTTGAATTCTTATTAGGATTAGTCTAAACTATTATTCATGTTTTCATTCAATTAATAAATGGCATGTTTTCAATTATTCTCAGGTACTCACCCAATTTCATGAATAAATGGTCCGACAGTGTGTTAAACTATTCTCGATTCAATTTATTTCACAGATAAACTGTGCTTACTCTAGACCAGAAAACTCAATTGTCTGTTTCCGCTTTCTGCACCACCGAGAATAGTAAAATAGTAAAATTTTTACTATTTTTCTATCACGTTTTTCGGCGTCTGGTTAGGAAGGATGCCAATCGTAATTAGTATCTAAATTCATGACATTTTCATGTAGTGAAAAATATCAACCAAAATTTGATGAAGTAAAAATTCATAGTTCAAAATGTTCACAGAAACATTTTCAAAAATGCAATTGCACTCTTAAATTGAACAGAACCCCACAAATAAAATATTTAGGAATTTATATAGATTGTTGCCTAAAGTGGAAAAAACATTAACTTGAATTAACAAAAAAATTAAGAAAATGTCTTTATAAGTTCAGACTTCTGAGAAGTATATTTGAAGTAAAAACACTATTGATGTTTTATCATGCATTATTTTCCAATATTATGACCATGATCATTAAAATATGTCAAGTCTACTCATAAATATGCAATGAAAATAATTTTTAAAAAACCTTTCAGATTTCAATCGAAAGTTTTATTCAGAAAATATTCCATTTAAAATATCAGACACATATTTTACAAAATCAGTACCATCTATTTGAAAAAAACATTTTGCAAATACTGACATAATAGAACATCAGTATTCAATATGATACAAGATCAAAGACCAATGAATGCTTTCAAATTGCTAAGTGTAATCTACATTTAATGCAACAACACTGCATATGTATTCGTTGTAAAATTTACAGTATAATTCCACGAAAAATAAAAAAGTTGAGAACAACAGCATTTAAAAAAACATTACACAATTGGATATTAGATAATAGTGAAAAAATTGAAAATGTGCTCACATTGAAATAGTTCAGTTCAACAGATAATTTATTTCACCCTCATTCATAATATAACACTATTATTGATACATTTTTCCTTTTCTATATATTGTTTCATGAACAATATCTATTAACAGTTAACATTATCTTTATTTTTCAACTAACCCAGTCAAACACAAGTGTTTACACCTAGCAGACTGTGTTAAAATAGTATACATGTAATTACAATTTATTAATATTTATATACATTCATTTGATATTGTACATTTGTTAATAAATTTGAATTTGAATTTATAAAAATCTTGCAAGACTTTTGGACAAAATTACCACCTCTCCAGAGTTATTTTTACCAAGATTTTCATAGTTGAAAATGTTGCACGTGAAAATGTGAATCACTTCCAAACGACGGCATTAGACTAAAACTCATTTTCCACTTCGGTACTATGAAAACAATACATTATTTATGGTTATAATAAAATTAAAAATTCTGAGCCGATATTCAGTACTGGAACATTTCACGTTTGTTTACACTTCTCGGATTTAAAAAAAATGTTTAAAATGTTTTTCTGGTAACCAGCTATCGCACCCCTACGAACGACAACCCTCAGAAGTCGAAACTTGTGCGATCTTAGGACTAACGAGGTCTTACCTTCTAACGTGTGATTCCTAACACGGGTTGAAAGATAGCAAGTGAAAATCAAGCGTTCAGCCTGCGGCTTGAACCATCGACTCACACATCAGCCGATTGACTGAGTAAACAAAGCACCCACGTCGAACCGCCCGGCTACCGACCGGCTATACAAAATATTTTTTTTGCTTTTTTAAGACGTTTCGAAAGTTTTAAAATTTGCATTTTCCATTTTTCCTGATTTCTATCAGATAGTAGACGTATCGTATGACAAATGGATTTTGACTTCTGCAAAGAACTTGACGGACCTTGCTAAAAAAAATACATATTTCTCTTTGGGTATTAAAAAAACTTCATCGATCATTTAATCGTACATGCTGGATTTCTTTTGGTAGACAAAAATTTGACGGAACCTTTCCAAATAATATCGAATTTATATGGCCATAAAGTCAAAATCCTCAGTGGGTGCCAGTAACGGATCCAGACCATGATTTCGGGGGGGGGCAATCGAGATTTCTTAGTTCACCCCTAACTTTTTAAAACCACCAAGTTATAGATAAATACCTTACCTGTAGGTCTACCTACGTTTTGATTCATATAGGAAAATATGTTTTATTATATACACACCATGTATATGGTGTATACACCACATATATACACCATGTAGAGTGGAAAGTTTATTATTTATTTACTTATCAAACCAACAATAACAAATTGCAATGGCGATTATCGAAATGGTTTTGTCACAAGGTAGCAAATTTCTGCTGCCACTACCACCGCCAAAATTAAAATAAAATTAGAACGTACATCAAATTAATTATTTTTTTGAAATGTTGACGCTTCAATAAAAAGTTTGCAATTCTTAAGCACACATCCCTGAGGGATATTTTTTCTCGGAATTCATCAATTATCAATTTATCATTGCGGATAATTGCATCTATATATTCTATATAAATTTTATATTTTATTTTTCTATACTTGATTATACATTTTTATCATTCCAATTTCGTTTTCGACTTGCCCAGAGACATAATTTCTACGAAACACTATTCCTCATATCCAAACGACCCAGATAAGTGTCATACTGGATGCCTTCAGATTCAATAAAATCATCTGCGAGATATAGTCACTGAACTTCTCAACAAATTCAGCATTGAAAGATTTCAGGATGTTCACTATACTTACGCTGCTTTCAAAATCCTCCAAACAACTCATCAAAGCTTGCATGCCATTAGCGTTTAAAACATGTTGAGCACAGGCTTCATTATGCTTGCAAATAGACCTTAGGACAAACAAAACGGATTTCTTCTGATACTTCTGCAATTACGAATTTGGTAGTGAAGAAATTTTGAAAGATGATTTTCCGAAACTTACGTTTCCAGTGTATATAGTATTGATCAAAATCGGCAAAAAGTTTCGTTCGTTAATTCTGTATGCCATATCTGCTTCATGATGAACCAGTCTTCCAAGGCTTATGGCTGCGCACTGCTGTATTTGCGTACAAGGATCAGTGAGAAGTGGTTTGAGAAGATCTAAAACATGATATCACGGAAAAAACGATTGAAATACATTGGGAAGCTCACATACCCAATATACCAGCTCTGATCAACTGCTCATTATTTTGCTGTCCAAGTGCTAATTCAGATAATGATTGAACGAATGCCAATCTGGCTCTCTGGTACTGATCGAATACTTGCACAATGTTTCGATTTCTCATGACGATTTTTCATCGAACGTCATTCAAATATGTCACGTTGACATTAAGAAATTTTGAAACTTGTTTGAAAGCAACTATAGCGTTTTGATATTATTTCGTGAAGAGAGGCTTCTATTGATCTGTGAAGACCAACTATACAGAAAGTGATGTAGAAAGTGTAGGTACTCTGCTTTTGAATGTTGGGAGGAATATTATTAGGTGAGGTCAGGACTGCCAGGACAGAAATTCATCATACAACCTTAATTCATATTATCAGTAAGGTGCATAATTTTACCGACACTGGAAAGACAGTATGCACAATAAGGTATGGAAAAATTTCTGAAAATTGTTCAGGTACTCAGATGAAATTTAGATATGATATGCAGAATGAAAGTGAACAGCTGAACCATTGAGAAATGATGGTTAATGGTAATAAATTAACCTCATTATTAACATTGACATAAGAGAGGCCAAGCACAACATGAAAACATGCTACTAAGAAAAGTTGTGCTTCATTTAAAATATTTGGAAGATTTAGCTACTTTGATCAAACGGACATTTTTGAGGTTAAACACAGTAAACTCACAAATGTATCACAGGTAATTATCTGATAAATTTTGAATAACTATGTGGTATCTAGAGAAATGATATCAGATGCTGTGAATTTTATTTGTGAGTAAATACTTTTTTTTATATTTTCAGTCCATTACACCTCTTTAACCATGAAATTTATCACGGAGGCAGTTTTTTGCAAACGCGACACTCGAAGGTATTCTGAATAACTATATGTTATGTATATAAATTTTTTTTTGTATCAAGATGGATTAGTAGAAAGCCAAATACTGTCGTAACCAAAAATTATTCACTCTTAAAAAATAACCCTTTCAATTCAAACAAGATTTTTTGGCTAGGATTTAATCAAATAGGCGAATGAATGTCATTACAATGAGTAGATCAAACCCATTCCGTGACATAAAATCGTAATTTTATGTATGAATCGAGTGTTTTTTCAAAATGTTATCCAGTTTCCTTGTTATCGTTCCTTTCTTTGGAAGATTCCCACATTTTCTGTATCAAGATGGAGTAGTAGAAAGCCAAAAAGATCGCCAAGTTCATTAGCTGCGTTTATCGACCACGTAGCGATACACAATATAGGGAACTATTCTCTTCACTTGCAAACACCATTGAATTTCTGCAATGAAATGGTGACTTCAATGTCCACAATATCGAATGGCTCAAATTTTCAAATATCAACGACGAACAAGGTCCCGAGGCTGAGGCTTTTGCAATGAGCAGCGTACTTACTCATATTATAAATGAGCCAACCAGGATTCCTAACCGTGATGGAGAATATGCTAGTCTTCTGGATTCACACAGTCACCGTAAAGTCTCCATTGGGATTTCCCCTGGCTAGATGTTAGTTTCAGCTCTAAAGATCAATCAACTTGTGCTTTTGAAGTAACGGAAGTTATTCTATCATCCATGGATGCATATATTCATTTTTCAATGAAACAACCTTCTAACGCCAAACCTTGGTTCAACAAAAATTGCGAGCAAACTGTCGCCTCCAAAAATCTCACCTACCAGCAGTGGCGCAAAAATCCCAGTGCCGAAAAGCGAACTAAGTTTGTTATTGTTCGCAACAGCTACAAACTCAGGATAAATGAAAGGAAATAACTTCACAATCAGAGAAATAGGGATAAACCCAACGGGTCTAGATCCTTCTGGTCGGCAGCTAAAGCTGTTAATCAGAACTTTACAAAATTCACAATTCCACCACTAACACAGGCGGATGGTTCAATTGCAACAACAGCCATAGAACAGCCAACAACAGCCATAGCTGAACAATTTGCGTCCTACTCCACAGTCGATTTTCTGGAAAAGGCACCACCCATTTTTCCCACACTAGAATCCACAATGCCGGAAATTCCTCTTTGACAGCGTCTAGTCAGGCGAATTTTGAAACAGCTCAATATCAACAAGGCGCCTGGCCTTGATGAAGTTCCCGTCATTGTACTTAGAGAGTACGCACCAGTATTTTGCAGACTTTTCAACCTGTCGTATAAGAAAGGGGTTTTTCCTTCTTGTTGGAAGATTGCTCGCGTTCAGCCTATTCCTAAATATAGAAATAAAATCTTCCATCTAACTATAGATCAGTCGCTTTGCTATTAGTGATTTCAAAAATCATGGAGAAAATCCTAAACCACAATATCCTTGAATATTTAGAAGGCTTCAACATCTTGAGCGATCATCAATATGGCTTTCGGAAACAAAGATCAACAGGTGACCTTCTATCGTATGCCATCCATATTTGGAATAACGCAAACGAGAAACATGAAGAATCAAGAGCTGTTACGCATGATATTTCTAAGGCCTTTGACCGTGTGTGGTATGAGGGTTTGCTGGCCAAACTTCGATGCTATGGCTTGTCGGATCATTTTTGTGTATGGCTCTTCAGCTTCCTGAAAGAACGTTCCCTGCAAGTGGCCGTCGACGGAGTATCTCTCGAATACTTTCACCATCAACGCTGATGTTCCTCAGGGATCCATATTGTCTCCAACCCTATTTTTATTGTATATCAACGACTTATTGGGAAGGAACAAGAATCCAATATATTGCTTTGCTGACTACAGCGTACTTGTCTAGTTATTCCATTTGCTTCAGCGGCAGTAGGAGGTTGGGGATTTAGAAGTGATTTCGAATTGGGGTGAAAGTAACCAGGTTCAATTCAATTCCACAAAAACCCAGACAGTCGGTTTTCTTCAAGAAGATAAGTGTTTCCGAACCAGATATTATTTATTGGGGGTTGAAATGGACACCAATATGTCTTGGTACAATCATGTCGCTGAAATTGCAAAGGCAGAGTCTCAAAAGCTTGGAAGACTGTTCCGAACCAGAAAACTGTACACATTTCAACAACCTTTGATGCTTTATAAAGCTCAAATCAGACCTTCTTCGGAGTATTATTCTCATGTATGGAGCTCTGACCCCAAACATACCCTGAAGTTGCTGGACTGAAAATTCGTATTTCTTCTATAGATACTTTCAGGAAAAGTGTTCAAGTGACTTGGTACATATCATCGTTTTAAGTTTCAACTCAGTACACCTCGAACTTCACTGTTTAAGAAGTCTTCCATCTGGAGAACCGTGTTTATGTGGATTAAAGTTCCTGAGAACGTTTTTCCAAATTGATTTAATCTTCAGCGATTAAAGTTCAATGTGAATCGCTACTTTCGTAGAGGCACCGCTCTGGTAGGGCTTTAAGGATTTTCCTGTGGTGCTTGTGTTTTGTTCTTAAAAAAACTCCTAAAAATATAACCCTTTCACTTCAAACAAGATTCCTTCGACTGGGATTTAATCAAATAAGCGTATGAATGTCATTACGATGTCATCGATGACATGAGTAGCTCAAACTCATTCCGTGAGATAAAATTGTAATTTTATGTATGAATTGTCTGTTTTTTCTCATAATGTTATTCAGAGTTGTACTGAAGAGCCCTAAGGCAAGTGTCTTACGGCGAAACAGCGGATGTCTACCAGACAGAGGATGACAGTGTTCTATATAACTGAAATTTTATCACTTTAATTTATTATATTGTGTAGGAATCCTGTGAATGATATCTGACTCGATTACATCACGACAATTTGGAATACAAACGGAATAGAGAGAAGTGTTTTTCGTATAATTCAGCGTTCATAAAAGAGTATTTGTTTCGGAAGTATTTTTCTTTCGTGTGATTCAATGTTTATATGGAAAAAATTGTTTCGAGAGGGCTTTTTTTCCAGTTTGTGTCTGAAAGTTACTTCATTGCATGTACTACACATCTTTGTATGTTAATTTTTGAAATAGATTGCTTCCCTCCTTACTTTCAAAGAATCCCACTTTCTTTGTATCAAGATAGAACAGTAGAAAGCCAAAAAATTTCTTTCACAAAAAAATATAACCTATGTTGTTTTTATGTTGTGTCATTTTAGAATTCTCCCTATTTCATATATAACTCTTTAACGTAGGACAGGATTGCATCGGCTTCCCTATTTGTGTTTGTTTTCCTTCATTTCATTGTGTTGCTTTCTAAATTGTATGCTTTCTATGTCTATTCTGCTGAAGAGCTTTTTGTTTGTCTTTAATTTCTTGATATTTTGTGTCTTCGTATGTTAGGAGTTCTGATATGGATATGAGGATGTTTACCGCTTGTATTTGTGAAGGACGATGATGTGACATCGCGTTCTGGTATCTGTTAGTATACATTAGTTTCCTGTAGACTGTGTGTTGAATTTCTCCGTTGGGCTTTCTTTCAACCATCACACCAAGGTGAACTGGATTTTCTCGTGGAGTAACTTTAAGTATGCCAAGAAATGGTATGCCATGATGAAATTGATGAAAATGTCATTGACATATCTCAGACATAATTTGGGTTTCATCATCAAATCACAAAGCAACACACCGAAGAAAGAAAGAAAACAAGAAGGACACAAACACAAAGGGAACCAAAGACAATATGCCATACGTTAGAGGAGTTGCAGATAAAATCGGGAGAATTCTGAAATGACATAACATAAAAACAAACTATTCAACAACGAAAACCATCAGAAGTTCTTCGAACAGCCCAAAAGACAAAGTCAACCTAGAAAACTAAGGAATATATAAAATACGTGGGCCAAACAAATAAGCGAATATCAGTCAGGCTAGAGGAACACAAACTCGCACTTTGCAACGAAAAAACAACATCTGCCCTGTACAAACACTCAATGAGACTGCTGACTCCCTTACAAAGGAGGGTGCTGCAAGCAGCTTCAACGGATCAGAACCTGTCATTGGCATCGCTTTATGATTTGCCAAACAAAGATTGAACATTTGGATGGCAAGAAGATTTATGGACTTCTGCCAGAATCTTCCAGGATTGGCTTGATATTTTGAAGCTTGATACCAAACAGTTGTTCGACTTCAGTAGGGATGAACTACGATGTCTACCTGGCCTTTTTACACACATACTTTGTGCTCTGCCCCATTGAGGACCGAATCAGGTTTTTAGAGTTCAACAGAGCCGTACTCTCACCATCTGACTTGAAAGACCGCTCACCATACAAACTAATCGGCTTCCATAAGAAGCTGGGTTTATTTGGTTGAGTGTGAATAGGTGTGAGCTACAATAAACCCTTGTGGGTTGCGGTGGAGGGTCGAATAGACCCACTCATTTTGGACCTAACCTAACCTATAGAAACATCACTAGAAAACCAGAATAATAAGGAAGGCAATGGAAATTGAGAAGATTGGCAGTCTAAACAAGAAAGATGACGCACACTACCTCTCAGTTGCAAGAAAAACCAGCATATTATCCAAAACCACGGACAGTGCACCAACAACAGCAACACATTGCGGCATCGCCCAGAACAATAATCAATTGGCCTTCAGTCGAGCGTAACACCTCACACCACCCAATTACCCCATCAGTCAACCGGAGCTCTTCCCGTCAAATAGGCACACCGTCGTGTCTTATTTGATGTTATTCAAAAATATGGAAATTTCTTGGGCAAATCACTCCGAAAATATACTGTAAAATCGTCATTCTGGCTCATTAGCTAGGATCAGTGAGTAAGTGCCGGGTTGCGCAACACTTGGTTGCAAGAAACAACACAAATGCACGGAATCACCAATAGAAGTCAGTCGTACTTTGTGGATTCGGTCAGATCACCTCGGATTAGAGGCATCACCATGAATACAGCTTCAGTTACCTGCTTTGTACATGAATTTTTCCTGTTTTTATTTATATCAAATACACTCACTAAAACTAAACCTACTAAGCCATCATATGTATCGTATACCGTATACTGGACTTTGACGTCAAGCAAGTGCTGGCCAACGGTGTACTTCGTTACAACGTTCTAATGACAGCTGACAGCGAATATTTGAGTTGTACGTAGTCCGGTCTTTCTGACATTTAGGTGAAGTTGAAGTTATTCAAGTTCGAAGTGAAATCAAGACAAATTGTAAATTATATTCGGATATAAGTCTTCTCGATTCATTATCTATTTATTGACGCTCGTATCCAATGATCCAATGAGCGTCAAAATTTGCTTACTGTCATTGCTGTCAAGATTTTGAAGTTTTAGGGTTATTTATTTCATGAGGGAAAAGTTCAGAGGTTGACGACACCCTCATACAGTAGGAGATTCTGAAACTTCGGTAATATGGAAAAACTTGCGGAAAATCCACTTATTTGTAGAGCTTGTTTGAAAATTGTAGAATATAAAGCCCAGAGTTACGGATATATTGAAGATGCTAATGGAAATTTGAGAGATATGATGATGTGTTGTGTCCCAGAAATGGTAAATTTTCTTCCATTATTCACTGAGTAGGAAACGGATTCAAAGATGAGATATAATTAGTATCATTGCAGAAATGAGGAACCTGACTGTCATGTTTTCTTTCATTAAGTTCTGAATTTCCACTTTCATTTGGAAAGTGCATGTATCAATTAACAAGTAGGTTATCAAAAGCAATAATATTTAGAGAACCATCATGCTAGTTTACTAGCTCTTTACTGAGAAATATTTTCTTTGTTATAAATTATCAACTGGGGTCATATGTAGACTTTTAACTAACACCACATAACCATCAGGCATGGAAAACAAAAAATGCTCATTTTAAGATCACACATAGTAATGCCTAAAGTAGTTGAATTGTTTCAAATTTATTCATGTTGATAATAATTAATTAATTATTAAATTAAAGGAAATGGTAATTCACAAAGCAGTGATTGCAAATTTCAGGTAAACCTAAGTAAATCAACCATATAGTACTTACAACATTAGTACAATAACATGTATGACATGATTGGTCTTTCATTCGGATATGTGGTTAATTTGGCACTTGATGTTTTTACAGAATAATTAGCATTATTGTTACATTTGTATTTCTTATATTAATCCAGATTTACACTTAATCAGTATTCATAAGGCTCCCCCCAGTATAACACATTCTGAAAGTTTTCCCCGAGTTTCATTAAATTTGAAAAATCTTCAGTTTTAATTCACCATGAATTGAAATATGCCAATAATTTGTCCATACTTATGAGAGATACACGTTTTCAACCAGAACAACAATAACAGGTAGACCTCTACAAATAAATAGTTAATTTACTGAAGAAGCTTCAATAGGCCTTGTTTATGGCCTTTTATGACATCTCTGAATTTTAGTTTCCTCAACACTAGCCAATTCACTTTATGAACCAACAGAATGACACAATATTTGTATGCTTAAACTTATGTTTATATACTGAAAAAAATTGTTATTCTTTTCAAAAATAGGACTAACTAATCAGGTTTGCAAATAATTTGCAAAAAATTGTCATTGAGTAGATCGATTTAAAAAAGTGCCAAAGGATCTACAATATAAACTGTCTAACTCTTGATTATTTTAGTAGATATATAATCATTTACTACCAAATTTGTATCTATCACATCACATCTAAGCAAGGAATGAAAATAAAATTTATTTGACTGATACATTGTTGTATAGTGACAACGTGACAGATATGATGATTCTGTTACAAATAAAATAGTATATTATGCAACGATCATGTAATGATGGTTATTAAGACACGAGCATTAACCGGGATACGAAACGAGCTGAAGGCGAGTTTTGTAACAATATATTTTGTCAACATAAATGAAATTTCAATTTTTTTTTGGAAAAATAACTTTGCTTTTGCTATCAAAGTGTGAACTGTTCTTTAAATCTACATTAAAGTGGTCACATGAATTTTCTGAAATCAGATGATTATTGGTATAAGAGAGCTTTTATTCAAATCCCAGCATCATTTCCAAACCTTGATTTAATTAATGCTTCGTATTGTTTTAGGACATCTATGTTTCTACTGATCCAATAATATGTTTTCCATGTATACAGCATTTAGTGAATGTATACAATTTTAAGACAAGATGTATCAATACCGAGTCCATAATTCGCTCATATATGCAGAAGAATAATTTATCAGAGTATGGTCAAGTTAATCTTGTATGTGTAGTACAGGATTTGCTAAAAATTAACGAATACTATAAGGAACAAGAGGAGAAGCGGAAACTAGTTATGAGAGTAGAGAACGGAGTAAATAATCTTTCAACGCATTCCAATACAAAACAGATTGTAAATAGTGTGTTGCCCCATGGTAGTGCACAAGTTTCGGCAAATATAATGTCTCCCTTATCCATACCATCCCCTATAAATAATATTCCTCACATTGATACCCAACATCTTCTTAATAAAAATCCAGATCATATCAGCCCCTCGTCCAATGAAAACTCTCAACTTTCATCTCACACTATTCGTCCTCAAATACCTTCACTTCCATCCCAAAACTCAGTTTCTTTTTCCATACCACTTGGTAATGTGGGTCCTATGCCTCCAGTTACAGGTCTTCTTTCCTTTCAAGGTAAACCCAATGGTCCTGTATTTTTGTTAGCTCCAACAAATGCTAGTATACCCCAAAACAATATTTTACCCCAAAGAATACCCAGTGAACCACCACCACCCCCACCCCTAATTTATCATGCCAATTTACATAAATCCCCCACACTGTCTCAAACTGAAACTGACGTGTCAGTTCAAGATCAAGGAATAAGGAATCAGGAAATGTCAAGTAAAGGATTAGACAAAGAATTAGATACCATTACGAAAAATAAAGCAAAGCCTTTTGTACATCCTATAGAAAGCAAAATGAGGCTGGTAATACGAATTCCCAGGAGCAAAATCTCTTTTCCAGAAGAAACTAGTGAAATAGAAGATGATGATTGTGACAACAAAAATAATGATTCATACGAAATGGAGAATATGAGGGAAGATGTGGAAATGTCTGAAAATGACTGGTGAGTTTTTGAGCTTAGTGAAATACACTTTCTTGAAACACCTACTTCAAATTTTAGATTAATGAAGCGAAAGGTGCTGGTATTGATTTAGAGCCAATTTTAATATCATAATCTGTGTTTTTGTCACCATTTCAGTTTTAATTTTGGTAAAAAATACTGTTTGTTTTCATGAAAGCATTCATACATTTTATATTATTGCCTGAGTCATGTTTTGTTAAATTTTGATATTGAAAGTTTTTATACTCATTTTAACTATTTAGATTATGATAAAAGAATGTTGAAGAAGCGTCCTGTGTTGAAACAATTCTCATCTTTACAGGACAAAAAGTGATCTGGAAAGAGCTAACGCATGAACCTATAAATAAACTTAGACACTAGTAAAAATTATCGGAGAATGGTCACAAGTTAATACTTCTTGAAATTTGAAATTGAAATTCGGTTGTATAGATTGACCTATTCAACAAAAATTTTTTTTGTGTAGGACACCAATAGCAGAATGACCTTGGGAGTAACAATGTCTCAATGGATAGAATCCGTAGAATGGAGTAGTGGTGGTCCATGTTATGGTTTTGGAAACATTGGACTTCACTGTAAATAATCATGTCTGTTCAAAATTAGTGATACATGCAACACTATATTTTATTGTAACTTCTGAAGTCATTTATAAATTTGAAACTTTCAATCCTATGTAGATAAATTCATTCATAAGTCAACACAATAATAATGAATGCTTGAATATTAGTATCAGGACAGTATGTGAATATTCATCTACTAATTTATTGCAATGAACAGATGGAATATATTATGATATATATGACTGATATAGTCAGGATCTGTAAAATATATTACAAGAGCGTCATAAAGTACAAATAATGGTACACCAAAATCAACACATACATATTGAACAAATAACAAAACATGTTATTGTTATTCGGTGGCAAAGTATTTTTCAATGGACAAAGATTAGTGATTCAAGGTACTCTTTGGTATTGAGTTTAAATGAGTGTATGCTTTGCATGGATTTCAGTTCAACCTGGAGGTAATTGAATTTTTTAATGGAGGAGCTGGTATTGAGTTTGTAACCTTCCACAATCTGAAAAAATTGAAACCAAATCAATGAAGAATCTGCTGAAATGTAGTAAAGAGCAAACTGAAAAGTTCACCCAGAAAAGTTACTGTCTAATATAAACTACTAGAAAGTCCAATTAGTCATTAATTTTGCCAACAAATTGAAATCAAAATCAATTGAAAACATCAAATATTGATACTTAGCTTTCTTAAGTGGTTAACGTTTTGGAAAACAATCCTTTTCCGTTTTCGAAACTTGTATTCACTATGAAAATCTTGCCTCAAACTGTGATGGTTCTAATTTCTTTCTACATTCCATTCTTTAGACTTGTGTCAAAAGAAATTAGAGAATGCCAGGCAGACAAGATATTAGCTAAATTGATCCTTCTGACTGTAGAGTAGGGAGGGTGAGTGTAGGTCCACAGCACTTAGGCCACATGTGATCCATTGTACATCCTCCCGAGGAATTATCCTCTCAGGTCAACCTTCATCCTGTCCTTTCCAGGAAGGTGGTAGGTCAGTTACTAGGAGACATCTCCTTTATATCGGCAGGTGTAGGCCAAGATTCGCCGAACACACACTTTCTTATTGATGATAACTCAGGACACTCGCATAAGACATGCCTGACACTTTCATCTTCCTGTTCATACATCCTGCATAGAGGTGTGTCCAGCTTCCCAGGGTCGCCCAGGGTGATCCTGAGCTGAATTTTTTCAAATATTCACCTGCTCATTATTTTCTAGTGATGAAGAATGTCTCTAATTAAAGGGACATCTCCTGAAGACGCAAACTTAGTTGCGTCTGTTGCTTTTCTGGTGACTGGGAGAAAGGCTTGTTCTGGAAGAATGTCTCTGTTGATTCGTAACTACACACGGCTAAGCTGTCATTTAGCGCCAGTTGATACATTTTTTATCCAATTCCTTTATATTTTCCTAGAGCATTTAATTTTCTGAGATGAGATTGACCATTAAAATTTATATGCATGCACCAGATCCAATTTCAGTCATCTAATTTTTCAATTCATCTGATTGATTTGGTGTTTCTTGCATTTTTTCCACAGCAAAGATTTGGTCATGAATTCTGATTATTTCATCCATATGTTCAGATTTATCGACTTTTTTTTTTGTCTTCAAAAATAATTCGGGTAATTTCTTTGGTGCCTGGGTTTTTACATTTAGCATAGATCCGATTTGTTATTTGCAGTTTTTCAACCCTTTGTTTTTCAATTTGTATCGCAAGATTCAGGTTCCCTTTCATTTTTATAGACACTCAATAAAGTGCTTCAAAATCATATTTTAGCTTATTCATATGGTAATTATTGAGTTGATGTTTTTTCCAACAGTTCAATCAAGTTCACATGGATTAGTCAAAATCACAGTTTTCACAGATAATTGTATATTCTTTAAATAATTTTTTATTCCTTGCAAACAACTTCTGTAGAACACACTTATACACATACCACAAATTAAATGAACAGGACGTGATTTGTTCAAAGAAAATTGAAAAGAATGATAAGCGTCAAAAAAACTGAACAAATTATACAGGACACTGTACACTGCACACTGTATATTTGCATTATAAATTCATGATTAGCCTGCAAGAAGTTGAGTTTCTTGAACCAACTAAGAATATTGATATACCGGAACTCCATTATGTTAGAATTATAAATAAAATTCCTTAGATGTTGAAGTATTACAAATTCCACTTTGCCCCAATATCTTCATTTATTTAGTTTATAGATTTCAAACAACTAAGGTTTACTGAGGGTAAGGAAAGAAATGGCACATGTTGAATGATTCTTCAATCAAAACCATTGAATATATTTCCAAACATAAAATTCACATTTTCTATAAGTGAATCACAATATGAGTGAAATATAAATGTTGATGTATTATTTGCTATCTTAAGGTGTATTAGAATAGTTGATTTTTTGTGTTCCAGCATATCCCCTTCAGATCTGTATGAGGAGGTCAATCCCTGTAATGAGCCAAATTTCTTTGAGGCTTCAAATATTTATGAAGAAGAGCCAAATTCATGTGAGGGTCCAACTTCTTGTGAGGAGCAGTCTACCTATGAGGAACCGAATCTCTGTGAGGAATCATATGCCTGTGATGAAACAAATATGTCAGCAGAGAAACACATAAGTAAAATCTACAACTGCACCTGCATGTATCTGACAACTTCGGAAACATTGTTCAATGAACACAAAAAAAATTGTAAAAATAATTCGAAAAACTTGCTCAGGTGTCCCCACTGTCCTCATGTAACAAATCGCTCTTACGCCCTGAGCAAGCATATCAATACGATGCATACAAAAGCAGTATGGTTTCTCTGTGAATATTGTACGTATCGTAGTACGGATAAGTCTTGTCTCAGGAGGCACATGCGAAAAAACCATACAGAACACTCTTCTGTTGAATGCGTATGTAAAGTATGTGGTCATGTTTGTTCTAATCAGTATAACCTTAGTAAACATATTACGAAACATGAAATGTCTCCTCCTCTGAACTGTGAATTCTGTTCATATTCCTCGAAAGACAGAAGTAATTTTCGGAAACACATATTCACACATAGTATAAAAGAACTAGATTGTGAATTTTGTTCCTATCATAACGTTTCTCCCTATCAAATGAGAGTTCATTTGAAAAAGTTTCACGATGGAGTTGGTATAGAAGACATAGACTGCCAAAGTGATCGGCCTGTGTCAGAGATTATCAATGATATTAAGGCTGCTATGGAAGAACATCAGGTCAGCGATGATATCATTGAATGAATATTTGTATTATTTTTCTGTGATAAAATATGTGTACAGTTTGTTCCGACTGAAATTCGTTTCTCTTTAGAATGTTACTGTAGATTTGACTAAATCTATTCAATTGTTTATTTTGTTTCAGCTGGTTAGGTTGAACTTTTCTGCAAACAATATTGAACTCTAAAAGCATATTAGATTATATAAGTAAAGCTGAACTTTTACAACATATTTGGTAATTTTTTCCTAGATGCAATATCATGTGTTTTAAGTATAATATTTATGCATATAAATGAAATACTTGTATTACATTGTAACAATGTTCATTGATAAACCTATACTAGTTTAGGTTTTATTAGAGCCATTTTCACATTTTCTGGGTTATGATGCACTGTTTGGAACCTTTGGTGTAGTAATGAATATTACTGGAGTTTTTTCCCAACACTAAATCGTTATTTTTAACACCTCGACACGTGTTTCGATCACCAAGTGATCATCTTCAAGAGGCAGATTAAACTAGAAACAGTTTCTAGTTTAAAGGTGTTAAAAATAACGATTTGGTGTTAGGAAAAAACTACAGTAATATTCATTTTCTGGGTTAATAAAAGTGTAAGCTACAAGTGAAACTCATTCAGCTTACTATTGCAATTGATACCTAAATTGATCTCTCTGAATAATAACATCACACTTCCATTTTTGTATACCCTTTCAATGTGATCAGAAAAATGTTTTCACCTAATAATATTTTTATATTTCAAACGAGAAAAAATATATTTTATACTGTTTTTTTGGGTTTATAGAATAGAATAGAATTCATTCATTATTAAAAATTTTACAATTGCATTGCATTACATGACACTTATAAAATTATATCAGACTAGTCAAACCTGAGCACTAGACTATATACAAAATATAAATAGATACATTCAAACATACATTACAAAAATGAAAGAAAAGCATCTTCATAACTTATATTAGGAGTTTAAAAAATATGACCTTCCATAGTCTGAAAAAAAAAGATGAACCAATAGAGAATCTGCTGAAGTGTAGTAAAGGCCAAACGGAAAAAATTCACACATGAAAAGTTACTGCGTAATATAAACTATTGGAAAGCCCAATTAGTCCGTAACTTGTCGTATCATAAATTTTGCCTACAAATTGAAAAAATTAAATATTGATACTTGGCTTTCTTAAGTGGTTAACATTTCGGAAAACAATCCTTTTCCGTTCTCAAAACCATTATGCACTATGAAAATCTCGCCTCAAACTATGATATTTCTAATTTCTTTACTACACTTGAGCAAATTCAGTATTGATTTATCTTTTATTTTTTCAGATTGTGGAAGGTTATAAACCCAAAAACAGTATGAAATGTACATATCAAAATATGTTGTCTAAAACATAAAATAACACTGATACAAAATTTATTTTCTTAAACGAATCTCAAGTCATTTTCTTTATCAAAATTGAACTAGACAGTACTGGATCCGATTCATGATTCAATACCATTGTATTGATTTGTTATAGATCTCAGTTGTACTCGTATAGGTCACAAATTAAACATTTGAACTCAAGTTTCTTAAGACTATTTGCAGGTCCCACTTTTGTGGTTTTTGAGAATGCTGAATTTGAACATGGGTATTTGAATTCATATTGACCGCAAATGCCCCATTTATACTTTGTCCAATGTAGTGACTTAATAATTAGCATCCCTTTTTTCAATAAAAAATGTACTATCAACTATCCCCTCCAGTATCTGTAATACTAGTTCATTCCAGCATTCCTTTTCAGTTTAAAATAAATTTCTCAAACTCCCAAAACTTGATGCCCAAAATTCCCTCCCTTCTTCTTTATATCAAGTTGGCATCGTGTCCAGCAAAGTTCCTCCAAATGATATTTTCAATAAGAGAAATATTAGGATACACCCATTAAAAAAGAAACACAATGTTTAATCAACTGGGAATAGAATCATAAATTCAAAAATAAAAATGAATATGGAACTTATTTGTTAGTTGCCAAAATCATTGGTTCAGTGAACATTCTAAAGAAATATTTGTCACACTACAGCTTATATGACTTTACTGAAATAGATGTGAATTGAATATCTTTCCTCGCAAATAAAGATAAATACTTTTTGTGTTTAATCTTCTCATTTACTATCAACTCGACATCACTATGGTTTTAAGGAATAAAATCTACTCTAAATAAAAAAATCGCAAACATTTTTAACAACGAATTTTAAAAGAATCAAGTAAGTTCTTCAAAACTTTGTTCAAACTATTGAACATAACTAGTAAACGAAATGATAATATGTATGAATACTTTTAAACCTAATCCTTTATGCCTGCCATTTATGAGCATGTGCAAATAACATTCATCTGAATAATAAATGATGGGAAAGTGCAATACTAAACTGTCTCTATTTATTTGAGAAATATTCTCACAAATGTATTGTGGAAAGTCTGTGTGACTATGGTCACGTGATTAGGAATATATTATCATATTATACTTTGAGTAACCTTTGAAGAAACATTTATAAGCTAAATTACAAATGACAGGGAGTTATCTGTCAGTTTTATAATATTGAGTTTAGCATTCATATGGATTGTATATCCATGCACTTCGAATAATAATAATATTTGCATAACTAATAGTATTACAAGTATAGTGAGTACAAAGTATTGCACTCGGTAGGTGAATCACGTCTAGGTTATAAATCAAATTAAAACGCTTTAGTCGATACAGTAAAATATAACATAGTGAAATATATAAAATACTACATGGTTTTTTTGAAAGAAGGGTTTTTGCTCTCATCTTCTTCATCTTCATACAAAAAAATCTAGGAATCTTCCAAAGAAAGGAAGATCAAATCTTTACAGAGATGTGTAGATCATGTAAAGAAGTAACTTTCAGACACAAGAAATAGCCGTCTCGAAAGAGCTGCTTTCATGAAAGAAAAATACTTTTGAAACAAATACTTTTATATGAACACTGAATTATTCAAAGAACACTTTTCTCTATGAAATTTGTATTACAAACCTTCCTCACGGAATTGAATCAGATATCATTAACAGGATTGATACAAACCTTTTTATAAAGCTAATTTTTTGAAATTGATTGATTTCTTCCTTTGGAAGATTTCTACATTTTTTTTTTGTATATGGATGGAGAAGTAAAAAGCCAAATCCCTCCTAAAATATACCCCTTTCAATTTAAACGACATAGTTGTTATGAGAAAACATAGAATATACGTGGAAGTAACACAGGAATATGATGATATGAAGTAATAAAAGAATTAGATAATTGAACTACTGAAATATCAAAATATATCTCTTGTCAATGATTAAATTTTTGCCGTGCCAATTTTAAAAATCTGTTATGCAACACTCTCAAAGGATGAATGTGACTGAAAGGCTTCTCCCCAGCAGGCAATTCCATAGTGTGACTTTCAGTGATACAGAGTTTTGAGTTGAGTGGTTTTCAAAATCCTTTTTCAACTAATAAAGTGTGAAGGTTCATTAAATAATTAATCTACGAGTATATGCCAATCCCATTGGAGTTGTGAATCTAAAACGACACCTAAGTATTTTACTTCCGTTTCACGTTTGATTATATCATTCTCAACCATATTCTTGAGTTCTGACTAGTTATTGGCTTTATAAAAAATTACTGTGTCACTAGCACAATCCAAGATCTCACCTTTACTTTTCCAAGGAAAATTGACCTCGTAACTATACCCTTTGGAACACCCATCTTAATATTTTGTGGGTTACTTGAAATATTAAGTGTTTCTAGATGCGGTTTATGATCGACTGTGTTTCGACACATTTGATCAGTCGATGCTATTGATATGTTCAAGAATAAATTAGATAATCTTTATTATTCGATTTGCTAAGTTGCTAAACGTATTCAGAAGCTTGGATTCCTGTTCTAAAAAATATTCAATATCCCTTCAGGTTCTGATAATGGGATGGGTAAAACAATTCTTGATGAGAAACTGTCTTTTCAATAGCTCGTATTCCAATAGAAAGCCTAGTTTACAATTTTATTCCAGGAACTGTGTTATTACATAACACCTCAGTTGGGTATTGAATAAGTGGGTAGCTTACAGTTTTGAATTCTTCCACAAATTGATAGAGAAAATATAGAAAATCGATTATATATAATTTGCTTCATTCTTGGCAGAATATTAGTTCTCAGTGAAAACTATTTTGTCTCACTAATGATACTATATCCTTGATTTGATCTTCCTGTGATATGTTTTAATTTATTTACTTTCAATAATTATTTCAATTACAATTTGAGTATGTTGATAGCAAAACATTCAGAAGACTGTAAGATCTATTTACTAGAAAATGATTCAATATTTCAAACAGTGCACCATGAATCATTTATACATTTATTTGCAGTTGAGAATTTTTGTAAATACTGAAATTATTTAAAGTGGAAAGTGAAATTTCAATCTTGTTTGCAGAAACAATTTTTATGAAAGGAAAAATGTTTGAGTTTGTTATTATATTTTAAAGTCTACAAATCTGTTTTCACATTTAAAAAAATTTTGTAGCCATTTCTATCTTACGTTCGGCCATGTATCACACTTGAATTTTTTACCGTTTTGGTCCAACAATTGACCAAAGAAATAAAATAACGCACCTTATTTTCACTTTCATGTTCTGAAATCCTTTATCTTCTCCATGTCACTTGTTATGTATTTCAGGAAAAATGTCATTTCAAAAACAGTATTTTCAAGCTCAATATTTTTAACATCACACATTTTCATTGAGTAAAGATGGAGATGAAATTTCAACAAGAATTCATTCATTCATCTATTCAATTGAGGAGTGAATTGAGAAAATCTTGGCACCAACTAACCCGTCTTGTAATTTTAATAAAAATAAAAAATGCGGGATGATACCAAGATGAATGTTTGGAGTACAAACTGAATGGGAAAAAGTGAATTTCGTATAATTCAAGTATTTATCTGAAACTTCTTCATAAGAAATTTTTATTGTTTTTATTTTCCTTCTTCTTTTCTTCAAAAGTTTTTTCTTCATTTTGTTTAATGATGGTTGAGTAGAAAGCTAAGAAGATGTGTCATCAGTATGACTGAAAAATACGGTATACCAAGAAGAGTGACACTGTATTACTTTCATTGTTCTTTTAAATTTTAATCTTATTTGTGAATTGAATATCTTTCCTCGCAAATAAAGATAAACTAAGGAATATATAAAATACGTGGGCCAAACAAATAAGCGAATATCAGTCAGGCTAGAGGAACACAAACTCGCACTTTGCAACGAAAAAACAACCTCTGCCCTATACAAACACTCAATGAGGTTGCTGACTCTCTTACAAAGGAGGGTGCTGCAAGCAGCTTCAACGGATCAGAACCTGTCATTGGCATCGCTTTATGATATGCCAAACAAAGATTGAACATTTGGATGACAAAAAGATTTATGGACTTTTGGCAGAATCTTCCAGGATTGGCTCACTCCAAGGCGTTAATTCATCATTCGAAGCTTGATACCAAATAATTGTTCGACTACAGTAGGGATGAACTACGATGTCTACCTGGCCTTTTTACACACATACTTTGTGCTCTGCCTCATTGAGGACCGAATCAGGTTTTAACAGTTCAGCAGAGCCGTACTCTCACCATCTGACTTGAAAGACCACTCACCATGCAAACTAATCGGCTTCATTAAGAAGCTGGGTTTATTTGGTTGAGTGTGAATAGGTGTGAGCCATAATAAACCCTTGTGGGTTGCGGTGGAGGGTCGAATAGACCCATTAATTTTGAACCTAACCTAACCTATAGAAACATCACTAGAAAACCAGAATAATAAGGAAGGCAATGGAAATTGAGAAGATTGACAGTCTAAACAAGAAAGATGACGCACACTACCTCTCATTTGCAAGAAAAACCACCATATCATCCAAAACCACGGACAGTGCACCAACAACAGCAACACATTGCGGCATTGTCCAGAATAATAATCAATTGGCCTCCAGTCGAGCGTAACACCTCACACCACCCAATTACCCTATCAGTCAACCGGAGCTCTTCCCGTCAAATAGGCACACCGTCGTGTCTTATTTGATGTTATTAAAAAATATGGAAATTTCTTGGGCAAATCACTCCAAAAATATACTGTAAAATCGTCATTCTGGCTTATTAGCTAGGATCAGTGAGTAAGTGCCGGGTTGCGCAACACTTGGTTACAAGAAACAACACAAATGCACGGAGTCACCAATAGAAATCAGTCGTACTTTGTGGATTCTGTCAGGTCACCTCGGATTAGAGGCATCACTCACTAAAACTAAACCTACTAAGCCATCATATGTATCGTATACTGGACTCTGACATCACGCAAGTGCTGGCCAACGGTGTACTTCGTTATACCGTTCTGATGACAGCTGGCAGCGAATATTTGAGTTGTACGTAGTCCGGTCTTTCTAACATTTAGGAGAAGTTGAAGTTATTCAAGTTCGAAGTGAAATCAAGACAAATATTTCTGAGTTGGTAGAATTTATAAGATAGTTTACTAAGTCTTTTAACGGTCTGGTCTACATGTTCGTCTCATCGTAGATGTTGGTCCACATGTTCGTCCCATCGTAGATGTTGGTCCACATATACACCAAGATATTTCATGTTGTTTACCTAATCAACTATAGGACATGTGAATATCATTGGGGTTTGGCAAATAGGTTTGTGTATAGTGAGCTTATTCTTGGAAGGTTGATCTTTATTTCTGGGGGTGAACGTTACGTATTAGATTTAGCGATGTTTAGGCTCAAAAGAATTGTGTTTAACCAAGAGAAAACAGATGTGAGTCCTCTTTCAGCTCTCTTATCGTATCGCATAGAAATGACAGAGCTGTATCGTCTGCATAAGATATAATGCTGCTTTGGATGTTTTCAAGATTGTAAATGTCATTAATGTATATTAAGAACAAAATTGAGCCTAGTACTGTCTCATGGGGGACGTAAATGGTTATAGGTAGTGGATCACTATAAATTTTGTTGATTTTAACAATCTGATTTCTTCCAGATAAATTATTTTTAAAAAGGTTAAGGGTGATTCCTCTTACTCCAATGATTTCTAAACGCCTCAGTGAAATATGATGATTGACAGTGTCAAAGGCTTTCGCCAAATCTAAAAAGACTGTTAGGCACTTTTTGCCAATATTGAAATTATTCCATATACTATATATGAACCAATTGAAAGACATCATTTTCTGAAGTATTTTCAAATATTCCAACTGGCGGGAAGCCAGCCGCGAGGAAGAAATGCGCGTTCATAAAATAAAGTTACCTTTTCATCATTGTTTCTCCATGACCTTCAATTTACGGTGGCTGAATTTATATTTAGTATCGGCATTGCACCCGTGCGGAACCGGGGCGGATGGCTTCATTTGATAAGGAGAAATGGCTTTTCAATTACACATTATATTTATTTATTTGTTTAGCGTATGGAATCTGCACAATATTATGAAAATTAACCATAAGAAAAAAAATTTAAACAAAATTCTGTGAAGACACCAAATCATATGAGTGGCCAAACTCGGTTCATTGGTGAAAACTGTATGGAAATTATTTCAGTAGTTTTTTGAGTGTATCGTGTTCATACTATCAGACAGACAGACACGCCAGGAAAATTTAATTTGTATGTATTGATGTACTAAATTCACAAAAAATGGATAAAATGAAGGATTACAGTATTTTCAGTATTAATATTTTGTGAGTAAAATTGGTTTGTATTTTTCTTGGTTTACTGAGCCATTCAAACTTTAAAAATCGTAATTCCGACATTCATCTAGAAATGTTGATTTTGATACTATGAAAAATTTCAATTTCTAATTATTTTAGAATCATAATGGGAATAGATGTGTTGTATGCTAGTTTTAGTTAAGATTAAAACATTACCTAAATATTTCGTATAGGCATAGGCCTGAACGACAGGAACTTTCTTGCCAGACTTTTGTGTCACAACTTTTGGGTAAGGACCATCAATAGGCTCCAAATCAGGCTGTGGTCCGTTCCAAAGAAAAGTGTTGGTATGCCCGCCAATAACTACGTCCACAAGTGGTACCTGCTCTGCGATTTCCTGATCCTTCAAATATCCGGAGTGCCCAAGAACTATAATTATTTTTATTCCTAAACTATCCAGTCTCTCACTCTCGTTCTTAACAGACTCGATCTCGTCCAGAAATATTGTCTTTTCGGGAGAGGAAATTATTTTGGTCTCTTGAGTTAGGTGGCCTACGATTCCTATTTTTCTTCCTGCTACCTCAAGCACCACGGATTTTTGTACTCTAGAAAGAGTAGGTTCATCAGAGAAATCCAAGTTTGAGGATACTATAGGGCTGTTTAGAGCATTGACAAAAGGTACTAGCCCAGCAACACCACCATCGAATTCGTGATTTCCAAGTGCCTGAAATGAAAAAAAAACAATGAAGAAAACTTGAATGGGCCATTCGCGAAATAAAAATGTTACAGGAGGGTCAGTTACATCAGTGGACACACCCCAATTGAGAGGGCTAAACTTGGTACGTGATTTGCAAGTTATTTCTTGATAAAATATTCAAGAAGGATATTTTTCGGTATATTTTGAAAAACATACTTCGAAGGTCTAAATTTTGGAACTACAGGGTTTTGAAGTTTTGGAGAACAATTTTTTTTGTTGAAATTCAGATACGACTCTAGTTATTTTTATGAATGATAATATACATCGAAAACCATCTTCTACTGAATGAACTATTTTTCTTACTTGCCTCTTGATGTAACCACTGCCCATTTTCTGTTATATGGATTCTGGGTATGCCAGGTATTTATTACATCAATAGGCTACTGATTGTAACTCGCTGTGAGCCAAGCGGCGTCATGAAGAACGCTTTTCAATAGAAATATTCTGAATGCACGAAACAAACATTTTCAAACGTTCATAGAGGAAGGACTTTTTGAAGCAGCCAATCATCGAAAGAAGTACAATATTCTTAGAGCACCAGAAATTGAGGTAATGGTTTTGAAATCAGGAAGAGGAAGAGTTTTGATCTTCCTCTTGAAGATAATTACTTGGAGATCGAAACACGGGCCGAGGTGTTAAAATAACGGTTTGGTGTTGGGAAAAAACGCCAGTAATATTCATTACACCAAAGGTTACAAACAGTGCATCACAAGTATTTCACGTATCTTTGTTCTCCAGAACTTTTCATTGAATCTCAACAGTTTCTGGCTTCACTCCCTCGTATCTTTTCATTACGGAGGGAATTCTCGAAGAAGAATTGCAAGCCCTCTAGAACTTACCAGTACGGAGAAACAGAGATGGATGATTGGGTGTTAAATAACTGACTTTGGTATATAGTATACTGTATGTGTTCCGGGAAATTGTTTTTGGCATTTTAAAATAATTTTGGATAGACATTTTTTGATAAAAGAGGTTTTTGGCTCTTTACTCCTCTATATTTAGATTACTTTATTTACATAATTTTACCATTTGAACCGCCAGATAGAAAATAAGGAAATCAGATTCACTCAGAAAGAGATGAAGATTCCAAAAAGGTGTATCACTCTTCTTTAAAAAAAATCAGTGCAAATTCCACACGACGCTGACAGCAACAATAAAAAATTATACTGAGATAATACTTTTTGATTCATAGACGATGCTCAATACTTTCCTCAATGTTTTTTGAGTGTATAATCTTCCACAATCTGAAAAATAAACAAAGCTAAATCGATAGATAATCTGCTGAAGAGTAATAAAGGACTTAGTTTATTTTTTTCAGATTGTGGAAGATTATGCAAACAAAAAACAATAAGAAACTTTGACTCCTCCACAAAAAATGTATTCAAAAGAATCTACTCATAGGAATGAAGGACAAAAATTGAACCAGCTGAAATCTTTGGAACTCCAATGAACGCAAATATTCATTTTACTAAACGTTCAACAATGAATTAACTAAAAGAACAATTTGTTCAGGCCAGTCTTGACTTACCTACACTGCAGGTTAATGGACTGACACCTATCAGAAAACAATTATTTCCCTAGCTAATACCACGAAGGGTGCAGGTTTCTTCATAGAAAAAGTTTCTGCATATGCTGTTGGCGATCATTCCAGTAATTAGGCTCGGTTAAAGTAATGGTACTCTGGCAGAAATTCGATTTTTATTTATGGAATATCATCAACTTTGAGTTGATACACTGACGAGAAGCCAAATAGCCCGAAACCGGTCTGCAAGTGTGCCCTTCGTGGAATCATCCAGGGGAATAGTTGTTTTCTGATGTGTCAGTCCATTAACCTGCAGTATAGGTAAGTCGAGACTGGCCTGAACAAATTTTTGGATATAATCCAACGACCTACGTGATATTAGCCAAGGGAATGGTTGTTTTCTGATAGGTGTCAGTCCATTAACTAACAGTAAATATTTGACAATATCTCTTTTTATTATTCTTTTTGATACCTTGTTGTAAAGTATATTCAATTGATAAGAAAAACTTTTTAATTATTGAAAAATTTCAATCTTTTTCTTGAAAGTATACGGTCTGGACCTTCTACCCATAAGACATAAAACCTTACCAATGCATTTTCTATTCAGGTAGTGGGTTTTGCCAAATGCCCATTTATAATTTAGGAACGGTCTAAGGCATAGCCTTGTTTTGTAAAAGCTTACATTTTTGTACTCGTATAGTGGTTTTTAAGCAGTTCTTGAACAACCATTGTAGCGAACACTTGCTTTCAAATAAATTTGGAGTATTATAATTGCTCGTATTTTCAATTCGGTACAAGTCTCATTACAAGACTTGTACAAAATCGTCCTATAAAGTAACTTCACAATTCTTATGCATAATTGTCAGTTTTGGAATAAAATATAATTAATGAAGAAAAGAGAAATGAATCTTTCTGTTTTTTACCACTTTTAGTTGTAACTAAGGTTACTGTAGTTTCGTCCTATACGGACATTTTCAAATTTATACGATAAACTTTATTGTATTTTATTGTATGAGTTTGAAAATATCCGTATAGAACAAAACTGCAGTAACGTTAGATATAAATAAAAGAGGTAAAAAACATAGAAAGTTTCATTTCTCTTTTTTTCATTATGATTTCCTACCACGTAGTAAAGGCTACATCCATCAAAATATAATTATTGATTTTATTCGTACTCGCAGGAAACTAATCTAGACTCAAACAAGATCAGTAATCACTATATTCATGGAGTATTATTGTATTATAAGTGTTTTTTCAAAATCTACTTGGTTTACCTGAACCATTATTTATCTAATTAAGTTTTATATTTATCTACTGTTATATAAAATACATTATAGAATAGTTTATGTACTAGTTCAACTTAGGACGGAACTTATATAAAATTCATTCTGGAAATTATATAATTATTATCACAGAAAATGAATGCACATTTCGAGTACATCTCAATTTAGATATTGAATGGAAGTCATTTTTTGTTTTATTCATCAGCAACTTGTCGTATTTAGAATTTTTTCTAAAAAGCTAAAAAATTATGCCCAAAGAAGGCCAATAAAAATAATCTAGATATTTTCGATGAATTATGACCATGTATATCAATTTGATAATATTAAGCTGATTAACGATGTTTGAAGAAACTGACCTCGTTCGTCAATCTATAAAACATTCTGTTGTGGAAGGACCTATGGAGTAATTCGTGGTGTAAACTGATAGAAATATGTATTTTTGGCAGAGTTCAATTTTTTCAGCTTTCTACTACTCCCATAAATGACGTTTTCCATCAAAAGAATGGTTTTTGTGTACAGCTTGTCGAATCTAGGAAAGGACTTGAGAATTCTCTCTTTTACTCTCTCTCGGTCTCATAGTCTTTCAACGAACGCACATCTGGTGGGCGAGGCCATAGCGGAATTCAGAAAGTCTCTTATTTTTTTTCAAGGGCGAAACACAAGTACTTCAGGAAAATCCTTAAGCGTTCTTAGAGAGATGACTGTGGGAAAGTAGTGATTCACATTGGATTTGTATTGCTGGAGATCGACTCCATTTGGAAAAACGTTCTCAGAAAGATCATTACATGTAAACGCCATTCTCCATTTGAAACAGTTCTTAAACAGTGAAGTTCGAGGTGTTCTGAGTTGAACCTCAAAACGATGAGCAGCCACAGTCCGTCGCGTATTTCTGATATGTATCGCTCTTGGTGGAATCAAATGTGCCAAGTCACTTGAACACCTTCCGTGAAGTTATATACAGAAGAGAGACAAATCTCCAACCTTTCTTCGATGTTCCAGGCCATTAAAGTTGCACGTGATGTCCGTGTCTCCAATCAGGCGAATAGCTCTTTTCTGGATGGAATCCAGCAACTTCAGGGTATGTTTGGATGTAGAGCTCCATACATGAGAACAATACCCCAAAAAAGAGCTGATCTGAGCTTTATAAACCATCAAAAGTTGCTGAGGTGTCTGCAGTTTTCTGGTTCGGAACAGTGTTCCAAGCTTTTGAGAAGCAGCCTTTGCAATTCCAGCGACATGATTGTGCCAAGACATATTGGTGTCCATTTTAACCCCTAACAAACTTCTCGAAGCAGAAAGCGGAATTGTCTGACCTGACATTATTATATCCAGTTCGGAAACATTTATCTTTTTGGAGAAAACCGATGCCTGGGTTTTTGTGGCATTGAATTGAACCTGGTTACTTTCACCCCAATTTTAAATTACTTCTAGATCCTTATTAAGATATTGAACCTCCTGCTGCCGGTGAAGATGTGCATTCACAGCCGATTCCTGGAGGACAAATGTAATGATGAGACAAGTGTGCTGTCGTCAGCAAATCATTATATTGGGTTATTATTTTTTTCCAATAAGTCGTTGATGAAATAAAAAAGGGTTGCAGACAATATGGATCCTTGGGTATGACCAGTTGATGGTGAAAGTATTCAAGAGATATCCATCGACGGCCACTTGCAGGAAACGTTCTTTTAGGAAGCTGAAGAGCCACACACAAAAATGATTCGACAAGCCATAGCATCGAAGTTTGGCCAGCAAACCCTCATGCCACACACGGTCAAAGGCCTTAGAAATATCAGGCACAACAGATCTCGACTGTCCATGTTTCTCGATTGCGTTATTCCAAATATGGGTGACATAGGATAGAAGGTCGCCTGTTGATCTTTGTTTCCGAAAGTCATATTGATTACCGCTTAAGATGTTCAGGCCTTTCAAATATTTGAGAATATGATGGTTTACGGCTTTGTTCATGATTTTCGATATCATTGATACCAAAGCGACTGGTCCATAATTATTTGGAAGAGTTATTTTGCCCCTTTTGAAAAGCGAGCAATCTTCCAACAAGAAGGAAAAACTCCTTTCTTGTAAGACAGGTTGAATAGTCTGCAAAATACTGGTGCGAGTTCATTTGCGCACTTTTTAAGTACGATGACGGGCACTTCATCAGG